TTTTGTAACTACGTTAATGCGATATTCAAGGGGTAGATTTGAAAGTTTGACAATACTCATTAAACTTTGCTTTACAACTGCTTGCACTTGGGATAAATTCCAACTATGTGTATGTCAACTCATGGCGTATGAGTGTTGGATAATAAGTTATCAGTCAGTCACTAAATAAGTTAATACGGATTTAGTCGAAGACTTAATGTCTTAAATCTGCTTAATATTTCTAGTTTCATTGCATATTCGTTTACTTTTTGTATCTATGCTTCTTAGTTATATTACTTAATAATAATAAACGGTTTGAACGACATTCTGTTAGTTGGTGGTCCACTAGGGTTCTTGGAACATATGTGACAGCTCCACAGGATTAAGCTATGTTGTTCAGGTCGAGTAAAAACCTGAACAGTGTTTCGTTCTTTTGAAAACCAATGTAAAAATACTTCCTTTCAAGGCCTATTTATCATTGCGAATTCAATATCTGGTTAATCTTCTAGATGTATTGCAACAAACCCCTTTTCCAATCCATTTACACACCTATCTAGATGTTTTGTTTGATTGCTTTACTCATCACAGTATTTTTCCTCCAACCATACTTTCAGTCTCATTGAGAGGATAACTGTTGGACAATATGGTTATTATTGAGATGTGTAGGCTAATTTATTCTCAATAATTGGTGGTATAGTTTCTTATTAAATCCTTCTCCTGCTTTTAATCTGTAGCAGTGTAGTAGTTTTGTCTCTGATCAGTTATTTAAATAATTTACTTTTTTTAAATTGAACCTTTGACAGAATAACTAACTCTCAGAGACCTAACTACTTAAGATTCGGAAGTTCCTGATATTTATTTGTTCTCCGTGATCTTACCGTATCTTCAGAAAAATATTATCTTTGGGTTTCTGAACTTTCACACTTTACTAATTGATTGAATAAGAGTCGCTGTAGGAATTACGCAATAATTCTATCTATTATACCCATGTTCTTGAGGAAATGAAGTTCAATTAGTGTTGGAATGCACAACCTGTTGGTTGAAAATTAGATGTATGCATTACTGAGATACATATGTACAGAAGTACAGCTACAATATTTCGAATAGAAATGTTACTAATATTTACGTGAATGACCCATCTATCAAATGAATAGTGATGAACCCAAGAGTTTTGTCCCACAAACAGATTTAATAAACGTTTCGAGGGGTTTTTAACATCATATTCATTGAATGAGAAACAGACGTTTTGTTATATGACTTCTCAGTGATGCTCACTAATTAGTTCAGTAAGCAAATAAGAAACATTAGAATTACTACCATAAATAATATTTAATGTTGCTACGATGAATTTCTTTCTACAGAATTGCCAACACTAAAAGTCTTTTCAAAAGAACAATGGAAAAATATAATGATACTATTCAATAGATAGGATAACTGTAGATCTAACTATTTCATTTTGTTAACAATGTGGATGGAACGGCTTCTAAATTGTAATAAGATAACATAATCTATAAATATGCAAATTTCGTAATGATCTAAATAAGTGATAAACTTTTTGAGAAAAGCATTGGTTAACAACTTTCTCATACTGTTCATCTAGTTGACGTTAGACGATTACAATTGAAAATACGTAAAATGAATTTTAAATTCGTCGTACCACATACTGAACAAAAATAAACAGAGTTATACTTTATGAGTCAATATTACCTTTTAGCTTTCTGTTAACTGTGATAGAAATAAATATGGGTTATACTAGTTTTCTGGGTTTGAAAAAATCAATTCCAAAAAGTTAAGGTAGAAAAGTATACTACTTACGAGTAGCTTACGTTCATTTAGGTGTATTAGGCTTTTGGATTACTAAGGGGATTTTTTTGTATTAGAGATCCATATTTGCTGATAAGTGATAAACAAGAGAAAACTGTTTTTTTAACTTTTATAATGGGACACTATGTTCATCTTATCACTTCAGAGTTAACAAGGGAAGTAAATTTGTATACATATAGGTGGTGAAACGTAGAGACTTTTGGAAAAGGAGGTGAATAGTAAATTTTGAAAATCCGATTGATACCAGGGTAAAGGAATGTGAGTTTGATTCTATTTGTTTCAACCTAGACAGTACCACTAAAAGCCGCCAAACTAATTAGTGACATTACACAAATTAAAACGTATTCCTTATCAAATAGAATTCATGAATCAGATCACTTGGAACTGTTTCACAACTGATTCTACACAGATGACTTCCATATGATGAACGAACGGACCACCAGCAGCGTGTGGCTCTATTTCACATATTTACCCAGGGAATAACACAATATTCAAATTATTTCAATTAGTCATTTGCGTTCTTTAAAACAAAGAGAAGTTTCTAAAAATCACTGAAATTTTAAGACTTTGTCAAGATAAAACCAGAATCAAAATATTCGAACGCATACAGGTTTATATTTGAAGAGTAAACAATGTTATGTTATTTAAATTTTATTATTCATCTAATTTACTTGATAAACTCTGCAATGAATCTATACGGTGTTATAGTGTTTTATGTAATTAAAAGCATTTCTTTGGACATCCTATATTGGGGTTCTCTAGCTTTTTAAGACTGATGTCGAGCCAGCTAGTTCATTAGCTGGATTAGAGACTGGTCAATAGGAATTGTTCAGCATCTAGGACTAGGTAGAATAACGTTAATTATTTTTGAGTGTCTAATCCTGTGTATTAGTTTAGGAACATTTTATCGGCAACGTCTGTTTTACATAGTATAAAATATCGGTTTCTCTAAGGTTGAAGTGAGTGAAGTACTTGATAGCATGGATTTTTCTCGACCGAACTATATCTCTGAATATCAGCTATAACAATCAATAAATGCTTCGAAAAAGTGATCAAATATCCTCGAAGTCACACAACCGATTACAGTTACACAGTTCTAGAGTGAGCTAGTTTAAAATAGTGGGTAAATGCTCTATTTATTTTTAAAACGTAAGATCAGAGATCAGCCGGTATGTGACTTTTTACAAAATGAAATGTAACAAAGCGAAAAATCGTCTTACTATATTTCCGTTACAGTATTTGTGTGAATTTTATTTGTATTTTTTAATTATTGTGACGAATCTTGGGACATTCACTTATTTACCTGTGAGAAAATAAACGCATTTTTTTTCTTAAGATGTAGTTAGATGAACTGTCAGGAGTCACCTGATTACTTATGCTCCCAGTAACTTATGTTAATAATAATAATACTTGATTTGCGTCCCTCTCTTTACTTATCAACTGACTGACAGGACTTCAAAGGAATGAGATCAACTAACGCAACCTTAATTACACTATTGCGTTTGTCCAGTTTGACGATATAGACTCAGCAAGTCACTCAATAAAGAGACGTTTTTTTATTAGAAAACGATGCTCGAGAGCATGTCCATTTATATGATGTATCATAAACTCATGGTTAGTTTGAATACACTGTCTTTAAATTAGTGAAAATGATTTGACGACCAAGATTTGGATGTCAGTTAAGTCTTAAAGATGTATATAAATTAAAATTGTAGTTAAGGCAATCAGATTCAGATTTGTGTGCTGAGAACAGAAGGCCTACGTCCTGTGTTAGTTGTTTCCTAGCAAGCTTCTGAGAATGTCTAATCTTCTCTTGAATGAGCCGATTGAAAGGGCGGACACCACTTCTTCGAGTAACAGGTTTCAAGAATTGATTACTTGTTGTGAAAACTTGTATGACTCGGATATTCTGTTCCTTTTTGGTTGCTGTACTCGCCTGCTGTGGTCTTTGAGCTTTTATGATCTGGTAAGACGAGAGAGGATATATCAAGTCCGAAACTATTTGTTATTATTCCATACATCAAAATTAGATCACTTTTTAGTTTGAGGTAGGACATATTAAAGAGATCTGTCTTCTTAAGCCGTTTTGTGTGGTAAACTATGGAGTACTGGATTTACATGGGTAGCTGCCCTTTTTGCTTATTAAAAGATATCCTAGTAACCTTATAGACAGAAGCTTACAGCTTAAATGCAATTTTCGTGTTTGAATCTAACTTGGGTTGTGTATACTGTTGTAAATATATTACTATCGAACTTGGTAAATATCCATAAGTAACTTCTCTGAACAATCTAATCACTATCGCAGCTGTGCTCCTTACAGAAACCCTCATATGCCATCTCATTTAATTTCGAAGAGACCAAGCGAATATTCTACAACTAAACTATTCCATGCATATGAACTGGGCAGTTTTAATACCATACATGTATAACCTTAAGGTTGATTAAGCTTCGTGTTTCTGTTAAGCAGAGAAAGAATATTTATAAGTGATTATTGTTTGGCTTTTGTAAGGTTTACTTATACTTTTTATAGAAACAGGTGTAATGTTACATCCAAAAAGATCACTTTTAATCTAGAGTGACTGCAACTTTGAATGCGATGAATTCCGTAAATGTAGTTTGAAAAAACGAATGAATGGAATTATTCCATTGATTCCGCTAGCTATGATTTTAGGGATTTCGAATGTTAATTAATAGTACTTACAACTATATAATTATGTGGTCATAACAACTACTTATGATACATCATGGGTCAAATATATGTTCTCATAAATTTAGGCCATTAAAACATTCTAATTTAGGGATCACAACAGAGGTCATAAGTTTAAGGCTTTTAGGAGAAACAGACGCATATGATGAAGTATATGAAATTGAAATGGATGGAGATTTTACTGATTGTATTTTTCCAATCTAGATTTTTTTCTTTCAAAAGACGAGATGCTTTTGAAAAGTGCTTATGATTGAGAAAGCAGCAAAAGTAAGGGTGATAAGTGCGGTGATAGAGAATCGGCACACATTGTCGAACAACTTTGGAGCGAGTCACGGAACCAAGGTGACGAATAATCGAAAGTGTTAACTTTCATATTTAAGGTCACAAAAAAAGAAATAAAACAGCATCCATAGTATTCAAAGGTTTTCTTTTTCAGTAGTTTGAAACGCCTGATCAATCATTTAATTGAGGAGTGGATTTCAAATATTTGGCGGCACATTTGGTTTGACGGCAAACGCGCTACCGATGAGGAGGGCCAAAAGAGGAGGCCCGGGCGGACGAAGTCACCCTTGGTTAAACCTCTGCAAAAACAACTCAGAATTAAGAAAGCTGCTACCAGTCTACTTTTCAAACATTGCACACAACCATACTTTGGTGTCTTCGGAATGTAGTGAAAAAAGTGAGAGTTACACGAAATTAAATACAGTGGGCACTTCATCTCAAAATCAACAAGTACACTTGTCTCTTACTATTTATGATTTTCTAGGGCGCTCTAAAGGAGATTGGTAATAACTCAACTGCCGAAAAGATAAGGAAGAGTAGCTTTACTCAACATAGTTCACTCTTTCACATAGACGAGGACGCTACAACCAAATTACACCAGCTTATAAATTTTTCCTTGATATCTAAGTCTTTGAATCTTAGTCCTATACACTGGAAATCTGTTCCTCAACTTTATGGTATTAAGAATAAACACAATTCCGCTATTTGTGGTGTTGTAATAAAAAGGAAGAGGAATAAGAAAACTCGAGCTACTGTTTCTGAACGTACATCATTGTAAGTTGATCTTGTTTATCATGCATCAATTCCAAGTCCTATGGTTTATCTATGCTATGTAAATTCCCTCTCTAAACATATGGTCATCTCGAATTTTCGTTGTCAAAAGTCACCAAAAAACACCAAGCTGTATCGGAATCAATTAATGAAATCTTATTCCTTAATTTGTTGTTTACTACATGTTCTGCACATTCTCAAAGGCCGTCTGTTTAACAGTTTTGCTGTCTTGAGTACAGATGTACCACAACTAGTGTATGTGTGGTAAAAACTTGGAGCTGTTAATGTTGATTTCAAAACCGTAGGGTTTCGAGATTGTAAATGACTGTGGCCAGACTCGGCTTAAATTTGATTTACGTGGTACGGTCACCAAATCATAGTCTGCATAGGACCTGACAAACGTCCTAAGCAAAGTTCAACCTAACCTTCAGATAGAAGCATGGGTAGGACTAGTATGATGTAGCTTATCATGTCACACTCAGAGTGGGTATAACACTAGCATCAGTTTCGAGAAGTTTTGTCAAAAGTTCCAGTTTTGTTTGGTATCAGGTTAGTTATGATTTCACTCCGTTATATTATTAGTTAAATCCCAATGTCATATCCAACCACAAGTTGGATAGGATTTAAACAAAATTTCACCAAAGACTATCTGTATACCTTCTCTCTTTACCGTCTAACCTAGTTGGAAACAATTCAACCTCACGTTAGTGAAACCTTAGATGTTTTGGCTGAACCTTTAGATTTCTTACAACAATGTCACAGAATGTTGGCTGGGCAAACAACTCTCATTTTATGTTTGATTTTATTTTTGAAATGATTCTGATTTCAGGGATAAATGTAAAGAGAGAAAGAAACCTATCAAGTCGGATGAAGCCATCGTACCGCCCAAGTTAATTGAAACGCATACTAACACCTCTAAACAGTCTACTGCAGTCAAGAATATCGGTAAGTTCTCACTGTCAGCTTAAAGATGACTCATTCAGTCCTTTCCATAGTTATTTGGGAAGGGGGCTCCAAACTTTTATTTTTCCATGAAAGTGATTTTGTTAGTAATCTTATGTCAGTTGTTCATGTTGTTTGTAGTGTAGTTGTTAGATTTCGTCCAAATGACTGGCGTCCATCTACACACTGAACGTTAGGCAGTGTTAAAATATCTCCAGATTATCATCAACTTGTGGAACTCATTCTTGATTGCAGCCGGATTGTACTCTTTCGTAGTATGGACAGAAATAAACAGACCATCACCTTTACCAGTTTCTTCTTGCTTTAACCTTTCTAGTCTAGAAACATAACTGCTAATAGAAATATAGCGGATTATTTTAGTTCAGTGTTTATAGGCCAGTTCATTAGTTTTTTTTCAGATTGCTAGAGATAAAAACAGGTGGTTTTAAAATAAGACCAAGCTAAAATCCTCAATCTAAAATTCTGACCCACTAGACAGTAAAGCAAAGTCAAAAAAGACATTCATACGGTAGCAGGTGGAAAAATTAAGCTCTGACGTCATGCTCCTATGTTACTAAGCCTCTTTTAGTATAGTTGGTAAGTTCATATGGTCTAATTTTCCCTTCCATCTATACATATATAATGCATAACAAGGAGGTTTTTAGTGAGATAAATGAACATTTTTTGGTTATATAACTCAGACTTATAGGCTTTTGCCAGCCTTCTTCATTACCTTTATGAACCAAGGCATTTTGGTGCTGAGCTGACACTAAGTAACAAGATCATTAACTGTTCACAGTTCAGATAAGTCAAATGCTTATCTATGTACAAATCTTAAACGTTTTACTATGTTTCATATATTTCACTGTCGTACATATATCCTTTATTTAATACTTTCGCATCCCATTCGTTCTTTGTACTTCACGACACCTTGAACGGATGTCCTTTTATGTAAGGATTTGTTTTGTCGTCTGATAGTTTATGTTTTTAAAAAATGCGAAACAGTAACTTCTGTTGAATAAGAAGCCAAGTTATCCAGAGAATAATAATTTTGATGACATAAATGGGATGCTTTTTGTAATTTGTACTTTTGTACCTAAGTTTCTGTACTCATGAATTTCATTTATCATATCATCATATTTGGAAACTTTCCTGACATCATAGGTAGCAGGATGACAAAAGCCCGATAAAAGTACCATTTCCTTCAGCTTATAACAAAGCTGGATTATCTGGAAGTTGTGTGTGTAAGTTAAAATTCCAGTTTTATAAACCCTATTTGGGTTATGTCTTTTCTAAAATCCCAACAAATATTTTTTGTGTTACAGAATCGAAAAATCCAAACCGTCAGTTACCGACTGTAGTTGAAGGTAATGTGTCTGAGGAACTGACATTCTCTTCAGTTGGGAAACGCCAACGACGTCTAACAGCCAGAGCCGCTGAGGCGATAGCACAAGCGAATCTGCGGAAGTCTCGTAAATCTTTATCAGGAAGTTTATGCAGTAAAAGCAAAGTCCTTTCGGATGATGATAAACCAGGACCAGAGAACGAAAACAAAATTGTGGATGGGTTAAAGGCTACTACTGAGGAGACAGCGACTACCATCACTCCTAATAAACGATTTAGTCCTCCTGCCATAAGTCCATGCGCTAAGGCTACATTATCTCCTAAAAATGGAAAAGTCGACCTCGGAACAGGAGATGACAAATCTTTGACTGTGATCAGCGAAAATGTATCCCCTCGTATACCTACAGTGATAGGGGAGTGTAATTTCGAACCAGAAAGCTCATGTAATGAAACCCTAATTGTAGCTGATTCATTGCCGCAAATAGAAAAAGTTGTGTCACCAAACATTGTACAAAATGAGAGTTTTAGTGAAATCACAACAACTGAAGCTTCTACAGAGGATCAACTTCACGTTTTGGTGACGAGTCCAACTTGCAGCAACGAACCTTTACCTGATGTCCACGATTCGGAAAGCCGAAATGAATGTTTAGGTGTTCTTGATGACTTGATTAAGAAAACTTTGACAGTTCTGGAAAGTAATCCAGTTAAGCAGCAGGAGATATATGAGGTCAACGACCCCTACATTCAGTCCTTTCCTGATACCGTAGTGACACAAGAAAACAGGGATCTAACTATGTCGAGTGAAGCAATCAACAAAACAACACCTGAAGCTGAAATACCAGTTCAAAATGATCTTACTACTAATATTCAGCTGAAGTTACCTGAAGAAAAAGATGCAGGGGTTTTAGTTGAAACGAACGAAAACTCTGAAGTTAAAGAAATCAAACACACTGATAAAGCCTCAGATATTAATAATCAAGAGCAATCTGAAATAAATGATGAGTCTGACAAAAATATGGAATCAAATTCATTTGACGATTCTGCAAGTACACCACCAATGAAATCTGATGTACAGGTCCCCACTGTGACCAAACTTACCAAATCTAGAGCTCATAAACGTAGTCCATCTCCAACAGATGTACCTATTATTCGGAGTAAGCGTCGTCTAAAAGTCAATGTAAGTTAACATTGTGACAAAATTTTATAATTCTGTTCAAGACTTATGTTTAATTATTGGCTTTCAAGTTTATCCTTTAGTATATTTTTATGGCTTTGCACACATTCCAGCATCCTGGAAATTCTTTACTGATTCCATTCAGATATTTCTTGTTCAAATTTATAGTTATATAGCGTCAGAAATAACTCGGTGATCATGTATAGATCTTTGTGCTAAACTATCCTTCATATATAGCTAAAAATTACTTAGATGAACACATCAATTTTGCTCATTTATTTAAACACGTACATGTTGTTACACACGGGATCCAAAGCATATATGTGCAACACAATAAAAAAATGCGATTATGACAAAATAAGGAGAGGAATTTGAGTATAATAAATAAGAAGACACACTAAAAAATTATTGGGGAGATTGATTATGAATATAGTGATCTTGAGTACTGTTAGAGGTGTGAGGGTGGTTATCACTTCCCGGTTGCCCACATCGTGGAAGAGTTCTTCTAGAGGCACCTGAAAAGGAAATTAGGTTAGGGGTGGTCTTAGTGACCTGGCAGCGTGACCGCAGTGCCCAAGTGACAACTGGTTGAGGTCGGTCACACACGACATTTCTGTGAGTAGTTTTCACGTTAGCTGGAGACGGAAGTCCGTGGTATAAGGTGAGGTGTTCATTTTTAGGGTCGACGTTTTCTAACCCCACCGCTCCTTGTGGGAAGACAGCATCACTGTTATGCTGGCTGTCTGAAGGAAACACCTTACTGACGTCACATTTCTTTAAAGTCATCAGTACGACTTCAGCTTCGGACCTTAGGCTTACTGCCTTTAATCTTACCGTTCTTCAACCGACCTGTCTGGCATAGTAGGATCTTGAGGAACGATTGTTCCAGCCAGTATAGCTCGATTGGTTGATTACGATAGGTAAGCCTGACCACCACATCAAAGTAGCAGCAACGGTCGGGCAAAAAAAATAATGGGAGAAGCATTTAGATTTATAGAAATCCAATGAGGGAGAATTCGCCCAGTTAAATAAGCTCCTCTCACTCATATAAAGGAAGTAAAAAATAACGGCAGGACCGCTACTGGCTTTTATTCGGAGCCGCTACTCCTAGGACTCGAGCCATGGAGTCGTGAAGATCCTGCATATATCAGTCCTGCACGACTTTCATGCTAGAGCACCTTGTGATCAATTAACCATCTCTTTGATTTTTCCAACCAGTTCCAGCGTCGGCAAATAATGCACGATGTGAAATTTTTTGAGATCACACTGGTAGAATATAACCAAACCACTGAAGTAGGTCTTTTAAGATGATGACACTAATTAAATTATCGTCACTTTGCTCGAACCAATGTCTCAAAACATGTGTACTACTAAGATGGTGTCGCCACAGAATGTTAGCAATCCTTTTGAGACAGATTTGATCAAATACCGCGAGTTGCTTAACATCTTCAACTCGTAGATACAAGGTTTCACAGGCGTACAGCAAGATTGCTCTTATCGACTCGTTGTAAACCCTATTTTTACAGTCAGACTAACATCACAAAGGGGTGAAAGATGGCTCAGATTGGCATCTCTCGGATCCCAACCAGGGAGTCGTGAAGGACCGACAAAAGCCAGCCCTTTGCAGCTTTCTTTCATACCACGACACCATGTCATACACTGACCACCTCTCCGCTTCTTCCAACCAGTCCCAGAGTCAGCAAATAATGCATGACGTGGAATTCTCTGGGACGACATCCGTAGAACATGTCCAAGCCACCGAAGTCGGTGTTCCAAGATGGTGACACTAATTGCATTATCGTCTCTGTGCCCGATCACACGATGCCGAACCTCTGCATTACTAACATGGTGTTGCCACTGGATGTCAGCAATCCTTCAGAGACAGCGATGATCGAACACAGAGAGTCGTCTAACGTCCTCAACTCGGAGAGACCAAGTTTCACAAGCATAGAGCGAAACTGCTCTCACCGAAGCGTTGTAGATCCGACTTTTTACGGCCAGACTGACATCACGAAGACGCCAAAGATGGCCCAGATTGGCATAAGCCGCTCTGGCTTTCACTATACGTGCATTAATCTCATCACTCACACCCCCACCAGCACTTATGCAGCTACCCAGATACACGAACTTCTCGACTATTTCTATCTGCTCACCATCCAGGGTGAGTACAGGATTAGGATCCTGCCAGTCTTGTAGAAGTACTTTGCACTTCGAAGGTGCAAAGCACATACCATACCTACGGACACTGATTGCCAACTGATTAAGTGCGGATTGCATGGCTTGGGCATTATCGCACAGTAAGACAATATCATTCGCATAGTCAAGGTCGAGAAGTTTTTCTCCAGGCAACAGATCCACACCGTCATTACTTACATCCATCAGAGCTGTTTCCAGAATGTCGTTGATGGCAAAGTTGAAGAGGAATGGTGAGATTGGGCAACCCTGCCTAACCCCACTGCCTGAATAGGACAATTGGAGAGGTATTCGTATGCTCCCACTCTGTCTGAGATGTTTGTACATAGGGCTTTCGAGATGTTAATAAACTCCTCAGGCACACCCTTCTTCAATAGACAATCCCAGGGAACAGTGCTGTCCAGCGAATCGTAGGAGGCCCTATTATCAAGAAACACCACGACTGTTGGTCTGTGATAAGTATGGCAGTGTACTAACATTTGGCGAAGGGTGAATATATGATCAGCACATCCTAAGCCAGAACGAAAGCCCGCCTGCTTCATTCGAGTTAATCTTTCTCGGATTTTGAATAATCTACGAAGTATAACGGAAGCCAATAATTTAGGTGCAATCGTAAGTAGAATTAAATCCTGATAGTTGATGCACACATGACTTAAACATTTTTTTAAAATAGGAGAGATTATCGTTTCATTACGCGATGTTGGAACTCTTTGATTCCCAAGCGTCTGCAAACAGCTCAGTTAGTTCCATGATCAGAAGGTCGCTACCGTCCTTAAAAAGGGTCTGACATAAGTCGTTTGGACCTAGTGATTTGTGGAGCTTTTGGGGTTGAAGTTCCTCGCCGACTTTCTCCTCGTTGGGTGGATCATTTTCATCGGTCTACGAACTAATTCTTTCTTCCTGTACTATATCCTCATATGCAATCTTTCTTTTATATATTACTACCTCTGAATTAACTACTTTTGTGAATCCGGTGTTCATCTTGTTGTGTTAATGAGGTATGATAACTTGGACCGATGCATATATGTGCCTGACTGGTCGTGTAGGAAAGGACAGTTAGATCGATGTTGCTGGTGCACTAGACCAGTTGGACTGTTCATTGGAGAAGCGTCCATCGCCCAATACACCGTTAAATTTTATTTTTGGTATCTCATCAACTTCACAAAATTTCTCACTCACATCAGACTTCTTGCTGCCAGCGGCTCAAGTAGGTTGCAGGAGCTTCCGTCAGTTATCAGATCCAGTGACATGGAACTTGATCATATCAGCGATTATCGTCATTCAAGTAATCGTTAAATTGACTGGTTTTTGTTCTGTTAGGCATTAATTTTTTTCATTTATGTTTCTTAATACCCATTTAATGCTAAAATGTATACTTTTTTTCGAATAGCATCGTTTTCTGGACGATTATGATGGCTACTTAGGCTTCATAAGCAGTGGACGTCGAAGTCGAGCTTCCTCCGAGGTAAGTAATGGTTCTGAAGGGAGTAATAGTCGCAATACGGAACATTCCACGCGACATACACATCCAACATCATGGCATGATAAGAAGAGTTCGAATGATAAAGTGAAGAAAGTCAGTCATAGAAATTTAACTGAAACTTCAACCAAATCATCATCTAAAGGATACAAATCAAATGATAATATGAATAATAAACACGAAGACAAAGGTGGAAACCGACCAGTTACAGGACTCAGACCACGTGTAAAACAAGTCAGCAGACCATCTATTAGTCGTGGTAAGTTTTTGTTGCAAAATATTCAGTGGGAGATCCTTCATTTTCTTTATAGTTATCGAATAAGAATAAAAATGTATTTCAGAATTTACACATGTGTTCGTATATGAGACTATAAACCACATCTATTAGTTGATATTTAAGTACTAAAATCAGTAAACCACATTCCTACAAATCGTTTTATATAAACCTTAGTTAACTTCATGTGATAAGTATCACTTGGATTTTCTGTGTTTGACTACAAGTGTACTTCAGGTGACAGTAGAAGCCATCTAGAACCCATTCAGTTAACTCACAGTCCGTCTATAGGAATGGTATAAACTTAAAGCTATCGAATTATAAATTACTTTCACAAAAACGACTGGAGTATATGCCTACACTCATCCTTGGCAGGAATCCATTGAAATTACTACATAGGTTTATATAACTGGGTAGTTGTAAAATTATTGTTGTTAATGTTGAAGATGTGATCAATATTCGTATGCTGAATGTCAGAAAAACTTAAACAAGTCGTTGGAACGTTAGTTTCTCCATAAAAATTGTGTACAGCGATTGGATGCTGACAGTTCTGTTATATCCGTGCGAAACCCGGTTTCTTTTAAGTGAGGATGTATCTTACGGTCGGCGGCAACACTATGCATAGTATCGAGGACCAGTAGGTTGTTTTTAGGCATACTGGAAGCCATAGTTCAATAAGTGATGTTGACTTAGAAAACTGTGTATGGTATTTCGAACAAGTTTCATGGATGTCCTATTTAGGTCTTCATTACTGAGCAGTTATTCTGTTTTGCGTTGACTTATGTTGACATAGTGTGGTCTCTTGGTAAAGCTTCTAGAAATCATACAAGTGTAGTTTTGGACATAATCAGAATTGTCGCAAAAAATAAACCAGTAACAAATATACTGCTGTTTTCCATCGTATCATTTGCAAATAGTAATTGTCACAATCCTAATTTTTTAAAATTCCTTACAGTTGATGTTTTTTTGTTTCATAGACAGTTTCATTCTACAGGGTTTACTTTCAGAGATAAAAGCCAACATTTCACACAAGAAATTTCTGCGCGTCCCATAAACTTATTGAGGTCGTTTTGAATTACTGTCAATAACAACCAATAGAGTCGTGTTTGCAGAAAGGTCATTTAGTTAATTATAAATAATGACAGAACAAAAAGTGGTTCAGGAAAGCAACTAAATTATTTTCGTCTGATTTACCTTTCTTTGAAAGTGAATATTTAAAACGAGATGAGAATTTAAATATGATGCTTTTTAGATGACAGTTTTTGCAAATATTGATCCGTAATACTTTAGACTGCTTTCACATAACATTTTTTCGCCATCGTATAAATTGTGATAGTGCCTCAAATCATATACCATTCGCTTATTCTACACATTTTTATCGTACGTTTTTTTATCATGTGCCTTATGAAGTAATGCATCAGGCCAGTTCGTATAGATTTCTTTCCTGTTTTTCGTCTTTCATTGCCACATTTCTTCTGCATAGTTATGACCTCATATTGTTATCTTTGATGCTAGTGGTAATTAGTGACTCTATTTCCGCTGTGCAATTGTAGAGGACAGTCGTTATTCATCAACTTTATCGGCTATGGTTCACGCTGCGCGCTTGGCTGCCGTTGGCGCCAAGGTTCCCGGAGGTGTTAGTCCTGTGCATGCTGCTTTAGCTGCTTCTGCTGCTCATTCAAATAGGATGAAAGAAAAGCATTCTGCTTCTAAACAAGACGATGCTCATGTAAGTGGTCACGGAGTTGCTCTACAAAATTCATTTCATCCTAGTAGACTCGGGTCTACTAGTCAACATTCGACCCATTTACCGAATCGTTGTGGACAATGCCCAGCATGCTTAGGACTTATTCAACCATGTGGACGTTGCAGTGATTGTCGGTTAGTGAAATGTTGATCATTGGTTTACTTTGAAAGCATTTTTATCAGCCTTTTATAATTTATTTTGGACTCGCTTTCTTTTTTAGCTATATCGAAACACCCAACTCCTTTTAGATCTTATCCGTCACATATAAGCAGTCAGTCAGTCGGTCAGTTACGACGTAGGACCAGGCACATATATCCATCGGTTCAATTTGCCACACCTCATTAGCACAGCAAGATGGACACCAAATTCATAGATGCAATTAATTCAATGGTTTATTATATAAAGGAAAGATTGCATATAAGGATATAGTACAGGAATAAAGTTAGTTCGTAGAAAGAAAGATATGAAATAATTTTAGTCTCATAGTTTAAGGGAAGACAAAGAGTGTATACACCTACACCATTGTGATCGATTCTGAGCTATGTCAATCAGAGTCTCCAACCATTGGTTACGATAGTCACGTGGACCCCAACCAAGTAGTCTGCATCTTCCAACATGGCTCAGACTAGAAGTTGGTGACTTCAAGCACTGATGCCACGTTTTTTCATGACATCTGGCGAGCTATACGTATCATAGTTCTTTGCTGTAATGAGTTTGATAATTCATAGGCGATACTTCCTGAATATTTCTGACTTAAAAATCACGTTTGTGAAGAAGAGCTATGATAGAAAATCCAAAAGTAATTGTTGAGATCTCTATTTGACTTGGCGGTCTGATTGAACACTTTATAATTGTGGTGATTACTGAATAATTCCGATTTATAGATATAAAAAAGTTCATTTTACTGTGTTTCTGTTAGCTAGATTGTTTTCATCACTTGGTGTAATATTTTACTGTGAAATTGCGATCTTTGCAGATTTTACAAGGTTTATCTCCAGTGTAATCTATATTGTTGTACTTGTAAATAAATGATAAACAGATATCATCTTTACTGGGAAATCTTATTGATGAGCTTTTTCTCTTCTGTACCTATCGTTGACACTACTTGTTTGAAGAGTAGTAGTAACGATAGCTTGTCTGATTTCACAGTTTCTATAAACACTTGTGACGTCGGTTTTGTTTTTAATACTTATCTAATTATGAAACTTTCTGTTTTACTTGTTTTGTTTTTCAGCTTAGTTGACAGTAATGATCCACGAGGGAGACCTTGCAAGTAAATCTTGTTTTATATTATATCACGTCTCTAATTGTATTCTATTTTCTATTGGATGTTTGTGACCTGTGTACTGTAATTTAAGTTGAATATTTGATGCTTTGTGAAAACTATCCATTGAGCTACGTTCTAATGTTCCTGTCGTTTGTCGGTTTTAATTTGGAAGTGTACAGAGTCATAATAAACCTTGTACTCATTGGGGGTTTCATGTTATGTTTCACGTAAGAAAGTCAAGGTACTATTAAACAACACAACGAAATGATTACTTCATCATATATTTAGTATCCGTGTTTGCTCCTAAATTGAAGTAGTACGAACCTTTCACTTTTGTAATTTAAATGTTACTAACTATACTTTTATTTTTACAGGGAACTTATATGTCTCAGACGTCGTGTTGCGGCTGCCACTGCTGACCAGAATACGAAAACAGGTCCGAGGGTAAGATTGTCCTTCCCTATTTCTAATCATATGAATTGTTGTTACTTTGTATTCACTTATCGGGTTTCTATGTTGCTAACCTGTTCTTTATTGTTGAACATCGAATGGGGCTAGTTAACCGGGTTCGCCTAAATATTTCTGAGTTAAGGATTTTGGGTGTTCTTTATTTGTTCTCAAGATCATTTTAATTTTAATCCCATAGTTTACATCACATAGTGATTTCAGTTAAATAATGATTTGAAATCAAGTAGAACTAAACACCTGTTTTGTCAAAGTATGGGGCTCTTCAGTGCATAACCAAGACCCCGCTGGGGATCGAACTCAGAATCTTCATGTCTCATAAATTTCTCTCATTGTGCATACTACTAACTTTCATGTTTCAGGGAGTTAATCACTGTAAGTTCATTTTTAATTGTTTGCTGGTAACGTGGTTGCTATGTTTGAAGCGATTACGAGGTCACCTAGTCTGCGAACGGAACAAAGACTTGTGACCAAAGACCAATGAGATAGCTATTCTGATGCGTCCCAGCCCTTCTAACTAGAGAGAAAAATCCAAGTTCGAACGGGGAAATACATTCCTCAAGCAGCCAGAAGCACGAGAGACAAGAACAGGCATAAATCAAACGTATACAGCATAAAACTGTCCTTGGGAAGCGTTACAAAATAGCATACTAAAAGATATAACGAGCCAATAGCGTTTAAGATTCTTCCAAGTGGGAAATACGACATGAAGGATAAAAAAGCGCTTTTGGCGCGAAAATAAAGAAGTTCAAATTTTCAAAATAAAATTACAAAATAAGTCATTTACTAAGTGAGTTCTAGAGATCTAACATCCTCAACAATGGTGAAAAGATTTTCAGCTCAGACTGATAATTTCGATGGAGTTGGGTGGCATAATCGTAAAGTTTTCATTGTCCTTCTGGACAAAATCATCGGCACAAACTTCAGATAAAAGTGAGGTATTTGGATTTCTCCGTATATGGCTGTTAACTTGTTCCATTGATCTTGAACTTGACTGCTTGGTATCGATCTTTCATTGCAAATTTATTTTTATTGTCTTCCCTTGTAAACTGATTTTCTTGGTAATATCCAGATAAACTGTTACTATTGTGACTCATTGGTTTGGGATTCGATTTCACCCAACAATTCACGGATTCAAACAGCTCTTCGTGTAATGTAGTTTTGGACATTCAAATTCTACTACCAGTTTTCACGCAATACCGTAATACTTAAACCTGTACTGGGTATCTGAGATAAATAAACTTACAGTATTTTCATCATTCTGTACAATCTTCCTACAATACTTTGTATTAATTCGTAATCAGTTTTTAATGCGAAAGTTGTGGTTCTGTGGATGTGTCAATGATAATCTAGATCCAATATTCCTTGTCTGGTGTTTACTGGTAAATGTGATCGTAAGTCTCTCAAGAGAATTGCTTGTGTATGTTGGATTCACCCAGGATGTGATTTCGCTGTCTGTTGTAAATAATAGTGGTAAATCTGTTGGTGAAATTGTGGTAGTCAGGATATGTGTAACGCTTGCCCAACTATTGATGCTCTATGTGACGATACTGGGGTTAATTTGAGTACATAATAATACTAGTTGATTATATGTGACACCCCTTGTGATTCACATTTATATTTCAAATAATAAGTTGTATAAAAACGATAACTTTTTATATGTACAGAATTTTAGTGTGTCCCAAATTTCTATAAAGCTGTTGAGGCACGTACAAAATTATTATTGTCATGAAAATGTATTTTTTTTAAAGGATATATTTACCGAAAATATCGCCTACTTTTTTTGATAAGAGGTGTTTTTCTTCTATACTTGTTTGTCCTAAGCGACTTATTATACGATAATGCAATGAGAAGATATGAACTTATTTTACACTTTTTTGTCTCTAGGTTAAATTTCCATCAAATTATCCTTCACCTGGTTCAACTTCAAACTTACCTATAAGTGGATATAAAGGTGCTTTATCAATGAATACTGCTAATCATACAAATAATCGATCTAACCTTAATAAATCTGAAGATGAACCAGATGAATCAGTTAGTTTGTTGCAAACTGTACCTGGATTAGCGCAACAGCTTGAATTAGATACATGGTTACCATCTAGTTATTCTCGGAAAACAAATGCCAATGGAATAAATCATTCATATCGTCGTAAGCATAAAAATCCTGTAAACAATTTAAATGTCGGTCCTGAACTTCAAGTAACACCTGTTCGTGGCGGAGATTTAGGAATGCATTTCAATTCGATTATTGAAGAAAATGATGAAAATGAAGATTTAGATCGTGTCCGTCCAGTTGAAGGGGTAAGGTTGTTTTCATGTATGTAAAGTGATAATTCATGATTTTTACATTCGAACCATCATAGCTAATTTAGCGTTTGTCTGCTACGTCAATCCGTTACAATTAACCACTGCCTTCAGGGACTTAGCTGCTCATACTAGATTGATTTGTCTTCTTTGTTTGTGTTAACTGCCAGTAAGGAGATACACATCTACATTTATGTGGACTAGTGTTTACGTTTTCTGTATTGTGTATTAGATTTAGTAATATATCATCATAAAGTTTTTGTGAGTACTCAGATAAAATTTACTGTTATAGCTTCGTATAACTCCGTTTTGGCTTCTACAGGAATCAGTTTGATGGTGATATAAATTATCCTCAGAATGTTGATAGAACTTATTGGTGATTTTTATGACTTGGTTATAATCGGATTCCACTTTTTCGCATCGGTAGATGGTAACACCTAGCTTAAAATTTTCATAGCTTATTACCGCAAATAGGTTGTTTCTTTATCATGCCACGGTTTTGGTCATAATACGCCGAATCTATGACTGAATATATCGACTTGGATTTCGGTTTATATAGTCGTTGACTTTGATCATCTTATCACAGTGGTATCTGTTGAGTCGGCTTCCGGAGAACTTCAACGGAGCCTCCAGAGGCCCAAAAGGAGCCGAAGGGACCTAGCCAATCAGAGTATGATGGGACGTTCTGGAATTCCGTGGCGTGCTACTAGTGGTCGGTAGCATAATATGTCGTTAAAGGATTGGCTGAAATATGATGTTGATTTAACAGACGCCAACATCTATAAATACCTATGATTTTCTATACAAAAATGAACCTTGGGGTAAAGAATTTTCTCTCATACTTGTGTCTTCTCTCTGGTGTTCAAGTCGCTGTGTAGTTCTAGACTGCGGGTTACCGGAATGGCTTAGGTAATCGTATATAGCGTTTCATCGACAAGACGTATCAGTATCACGTATACAACATAATACACGGACCTATATGTGATTATCAACTTTTGCGGTTAAGTTGTGGTTAGTTTTTCAAGAAACCCGTGTTCAATGTTTGAAATGTTTTATCATCCTTCTGGATCTCTCTAGTTCCCTTGACATCTATATAATATATACTTCAGCCCACTCGTTAATGGTTAATCATGTATTTTTAAATGTCATTTTGATGATTAGTTGGTGTATCTCACGTTTCGGATAGTACTTATTAATTTTCTTGTTTAAATCCACAGCGTCTAAGTCAAGCGGTTTGTAACTGAACAATCCTTTCCCTTATTGAATAAAAATATCTCTTATTTTACGCAAATCAGTTTATATACTTGAATAATAAGATAGAATGTTCTATATTTGTACTATCACCCAACCAATGTTGTCGTATGCTATTATTTATCTTAAAAAAGTTTCAGAAAGTTAAGAGGATTAATTTTCATTTATTTACTTATTTCCGTTATAGGAAGTAATTGACAGTGACTTAGCGACACAAGGAGGTTACGCAATTGTAACAACATTGGCAGCTGCTCCACCTAAAGAAATCTGTTACGCATGTGGTAGTGGTGGAGGTCAGGTCAGTTAAAGAAAACTCATCTATTGTGCCTTAATTTGTTAGTTTATATTGTAATCCAGTTTTTTGTAATCGAATATTCTTACAATGTTTTTATTTCTCTACTTATTGTTCAGTTCAGCTTATCGGTCTGCTGATTTCATTAGATGTACATTTCCGTTCTCCTCATTAGCGCGTTCAGAAATTTTAGTTTATTTAAATTCATAAAGGGAACCAATTGCATGAAATATCTGTTTATACTCTGTTAGATAACACTGTTCATTACTACTGACTACTCTAAATATTTAGACTCAGTAGGCGAGGATGACCATTCAAGGGTTGGTGTCTTTATCTTTAGAGTCACATTTTACATTCCATTTTCCTACTAACACTGCCCACTTAAATATGCAAAATAACATCGAGTATAAGAATAAGTTAAAAGAAGACTGAGAGCGGCCAAACTAAGACCTTGAATCAGTAAATTTCATGGACTGATTGTTGAGGTTCATGAAATAATCCTCATATATAGATCAAGACATCAGGTGATGATATGGCTCAGATTTGTTTAGTCACCGTAACATGAATGTATTCATTACTTATTTTACAATAGATCTTGGATTTTATTATCATTACTTTTTACGCCTCGATTTCAGTCTTTTTTTCTTGAATTCTGTTGTTTATGTTTAATTTCTTACTGTCCTTGATATTACTACTATTTCGATTTCTTTTTTATTGTCGTTAATTTCCTCTTATTGAGCCAATATGATGCATGATAACTTGACCCGATGTAAATTTGACCCCCAAGACCTTCGTTTATGACTGGTAGACCGATAGGGGATTAGTGGAGTCCTATACCAGGACGAAACGGCCGTCCAGTGCTTCCAGGTTTTCCATGGTGGTCTAGCTTCAATTGACTCATGATTTCAACCAGTGAGATTAGTGGAGCATTTGTTTATGCTTTTAGTATTATTTGTTTAAAACAACATCCGTTTTACATGTTTTACTTTTATCACTCGTGCGGATCATACGTTTTCTATGACAACACATATTGTAGGTGATTTATTCATCCAATGATTAAAGTATTTTAGCTACCTAACTGTTATGACTTTAAATTGATGTAGATTTCTACCCTGTGTTATCGATCGGTTACAATGACACGCAAACACGTACGGACGGCCTAGAGTCTCGATTGGTCCTGCTTCCCTGTCCAGCCCAGCCAGTTGAGTCCAGAAGACAAGTCACAACCTCTGAGATATGAATCATTGTATTTCAAACATACTCTATTTATATACCAAGCAAACAAACCACATCGTACCATAAAAATAGAAAACAACATTCTGTACAATATTCACAAGTGAACAGATATCGACCAATAGAAAATTCCATTTAAAGTCCAAGGACACCATTGGACTTAACATGATAATTATTGGTCTATTCCTGCGCATCCACAACACTAACTTATTACTTCGATGATTTGACGGTTTTATCTCCATGTCACATATCATTGTGTCACGTAGCTAATATATACAAAAATCACAAACATCAAGCATTTTGTGTAAAGGATGTAGGGCCTTACTCATAACCGTATGCATATCTTGATTCCACAGTCATCATATTTTATGAATGTGGTTGATACTTGTACACATCTTAAATGTACACACACAATCGTTACCCTTCGATGAATTGAAAAATTCTCCAGTCTATATCGAATTTCTCTGTGTGTGAGTTATCTGACGCTAGATAAGGAAAAACTTCAGCTATTTCAGTATATTATTTACGGTACTTAAGAATATTCATTCTCTAAATCAAGCTAGACCAACAGTATGACATTTAATCATGTATCGCATTTCAAATACGCAAGTTTATTGTCATCGTTTAACATGTTTTAGCTCAACTGATTACAGATCGTTTTTTCCTTTTTTTCGGATTGATTAATAACATAGTCTATGATATATTTATTTGTATTCCCTTTTTTAGTTACTGTTTTGTGTATCCTGTGCTGAACCTTTCCATTTCTACTGCGTTGAACGACAATTCAGACCTCGTAGGAAAGAACATTTTGTATGTCGAAATTGCACCACATGTAAAGTCTGTCGTCGTCCAGCTTCAGATCTACGTTGTATACGTTGTTCTACCGGCTATCATCCAGAATGTTTAGCTGATTTTCCACCAGCTAAAACTAGTCAAAGAGGATGTTGGGTAGGGTTAACTATTTTCAGAAAGTCTGTTTTTTAAAACATTTTTGTTTAAAATATTGAGACATTAGTATTTACTTCATAATATATTTTTATCACCATTGTTATATCATATTTAAATGTATTTTAATTAACCTTTAATGCACAAATGATGTGGTTGTGTTCCATGAAGTTGTTTACAAAACACTATCCTTACAATATGTTCATTGAAAACTGAGATTCTAACATAAAAAAATGATGACCTAGAATCAGTCTCCTAGCCCGGTTAAACGATAATCTATTAACTAGTCGTTAATGTGTACGGAATAATTTTATTAATTATTACTGAAATCACCTACTCTCAAACATTTCTGTTCGTTAACCAGTAACTCATATATTTATTGCGAAATAGCGTTCCTTATTTGAAGTTTGTTGGTAAGACAAACGTTGACCGCAATTTTGTAACCACTGTTATATTTGAATAGTAGTTTACGCATGATGAGAAGCACTGAATAATAAACAATTAACGTTTATTTGTGTTTAATTTTTACTTAAATTATTTGGACATTATGACGTAAATGAAGTTCATGAATAGAAGAATTCTTACAGTAGCGTTGTACTTTAAAGACACGATTTACATAACAACAAATTGCCCCAAAATAACTCGGAATATCTGAAATCTCATATTTAAAAGTTTACTTTTGTATTTTCAGAAAAACCAGTAGAAGTGCTACATGTCTGCTTTCACTCTCTGCCTCTTCCTTTAGAACTCGAATTCCGAAGTCTCCTCATGCGTTCTTCCCAGTTTTTCTGTGCTTAATCTTTCCTCGTACTACTGATAATACTACTACTGAGACTTGTATTGAAATAATTTTCAAACTAAGAAATCAGTGTATTATATTACTGCCGCTTTTGATTAGTTAGCTGCTTCAAGTGTTATTATAATTATTGTATGAGACAAGTTTATTGTTACACTTTAAAGTTGTTAATAAATACTAGTACCAAATTATTCGCTAACTGTTTCATTGATAGGAACATTCTGTTATCTTTATAATTTATTCATAGTCTATAAATCGTCTTGTGGATAGCACTGATTCAATTTACAGAAAATCTGGTACAAGTGACCACTAAAAATAGAATGCTGTATACAAAATAAAATTTATATGTGGACTGCGATACTGTCCAGAAAACCAAAGGAATACAGATGGTTTTCTTGGTTGGTTGCTCTACGAGCCTTTGACTTGAAGGTTTAGTTCAAGTGGTAGTGGAGCAGCGTCAGGAGCTGCCGTTCCACGGTACCGGGTGACCAAAAATAGGTTCCCTCATGATCTTGGAGGCCATAAAGACCATTGGTTTAAAATCACAGTTTTCCAACTAACCCGTTCTTATTGCCGGACGACTAGTTTTCGTTCTTGCTTTAAAAAAAGATACCCATATGAATTTAAGAGTTAGTGAGTGTACAAAATATCACCTATTATTTTTTATCCTATAAAGATATGAAACTTATTTACACATGTAAATAAATAATATATTTGTAATATCCCACTGAGTAGAAGAATTAGATTTTCTGACGTTTCGTGACTTAGTGTAAGCTACTTCCTCAGAGAATGAATAACCAAATTGGATCAATTTCAATTCGGTTACTTATTCTCTGAAGAAGTGGCTTACACTAAGTCACGAAACGTCAAAAAATCTAATTTTTCTACTCATTGGGATATTACAAATATATTATTTATTTATAACAATCGAGCCAATGCTCAGTTTATTCGAAATTATCAAATAAAACCTTGGTAATGATACCTACTTATTTACACATGGTTATTTCCCACATCTTTGTGGTTGTTCTTGTTCATTTAAAAAAAGGTGTCATAAATTTATCTTTTATTTTCATGGTAACTTAGACTTGTCCTGAATGTTCAGTATGTTTACATTGTGGAGTTAAAGCTTGTAAACCAGCTGAGACTAGTGATGGTACTACACCTATTTCAACGGTTCGTGGAAGTTATACAGCCTGGTCATATGAAACAAATAAATGTGCTGCATGTAGTCAGGCAGAATCTAAAGGCGATGTTTGTCCAGAATGCGATCGAGCTTATTTACCAACCACTAAACAAATGATCCAGTGTGATAGTTGCCAACTTTGGATGCATAGAACATGTACAAAATTAACTGGTATGATGTTTTCTTTAAAGCCTTTCTTTTAATTTTGTATATAAGCTATTGATTTGATTGTAGTTTCTATTCTCAATTATGTTTAAATCAGTTTTGTCAGTAAACTTAATCAGTTAGTTTAAGCTAAGATGGTTTAAAATTGTGTCGGAAACTTGGTAGTATCACTAGCCTTCTCATTTCGGGCGTGGAGCACAGCCAAGTATGCTATTCTGTGCATGGTTGATAAGTTAATTATAATAACAAATGTATCAAGGAAGAATGAGTATTGAGTGATGAAAATTTATGGGGTTGATTTGTAGTAAATAAGTTTTAATGCGCACTTGCTAACTGTTTAATTTCATATTTAGCTCAGTAATTGGAACACTTGGTTTAGGTTAAAGTTTCCAACATGATTGGATTTTTTGAAATAAGTAACTCATTCCCCAGGTAAAGGTTTACGTACTCTGGACTTTGAATCCTATTTTTGTTCTCGTGTAATAAATGGTACTGATACTTAGCTGTTTGAAGCGAAGTAGTTAGAGCGTTCTTTGCTCTTACTCGTAATCTACTAATTGAACCACCACTACTTCTAACTCTTTGTCCGCAACCTACATGTTTTCTGACAGTTATGGTACGCAGTTCTATCTTAGCATACCTGGTTGATAGTGATCGTATGATGGATAAAACCAAATAATTTTAGGTGATTTATCGTATATTTTCGTTGTTTCCTTGTGGGTTCGATCCCATTTCCTACATGTAGCAGGAGCTATAGGGATCCGAGCCGATAATCATATTTTATGTGTTCAGAAGTAATTCATAACACATCTTGTCCCCTCCCGTGGTCAGATATGACTTGGTGAGTGGTTTTAATAATTTTTCCCCTTTCCCTATTTGTTTGTAATTTTTCACCTCTTTCCGTTTATATCCTTCGCTATCTAATTACTTACACACTTCTTATTACGTAAGTTTAACGATTTTTTGTGGTTACTATTCTAAAGTCTATTTATCCAAGTTTGACCTACTTCACTTGTTGAATTATCGACTAAAACTTTTATTATTTTTATCACTACCACTAATACACCTTTCTTCTTACTATCAATTTGTAATTTTTACAGATTATGTGTAGTTACACATTCTATTCCATCATAAATTGCCTTAATTTTATATTTTCTTATGCCTGTATAAATACTCATATATATTAAAGTAAAACCTGATGACGTTCTAATTAAAGACAGTATTGTCCGCTTATATATGTCATTCTTATTTTGGTTGTGTTGGGGTTCAACTGTGAAACTTTCATTGTTGTTCTGGGCAGCATCTGCACGTATTTCATGCTGAAGTATGTTGTTTTATTAATCTGAATATCCGAATTCAGCCTATTCTGTTGACCTTCCTCTGTGTGTAATTATTTTTGGAGGTTTTATCAACTTTGCTTGCCTTTATATTCTTGTTGAAAGTTTTGTTCTGTTGACCTTCTCATACATGATTGGTTAGTCTTTTATACATTGGTTAGTAAGTAGGTTCTATGTTGATATGCTTACTGATTGTAGATTGACCTGAGTTTCATATTCGCAGAACGTTTTTGGAAAACATTGAATTTCCTTGATCTAGAACTTTGGCGTTTCCCAAATCTAACTCGTGTCTTTAACTGTCTGAGTGTACTGATGTTAGTGATAAGCTGTTCTACTGTTAGTCTGTTTGTACATACGTAGATAGAGGACAGAGTCCACTTTGTCTAACATAATGTTTATCATAGTCGGTACAGTTTCTTTTGTAGATAATATTGGGTTTATCTTTGTATATGAATAAAATTTAATAGTGTTTCTGTTCTCTTATACATGACTAATCCCAAAGACTTTAAAAATCATTTTAATAGTTTCTGAGATATTTCCCACATGTTGTAGAACGATTGGGTTTTGTTTTCTGGTTTCCGAGGATGATTTTATCCTGGTGTATTGACTTTCTGTTATTTATTCAACTTTTACATTTTCTTTTCAAGTTTTAACATTGATAACCATGATTTTAATTGTTTTTAATATTTTTCTTAAAAAATCAAACCAACATCCTTTTTCATCTTTCTAATAGTTGATGAATATGAATTAATTGCAAGAATGTCAGCTGGACAATTGAGTAAATTTGTTGTTTCTTGTTCCGTTTGTCAAAGAGAACAAAAATCTCAACAAAAAAAGTCAAACGCCTCTCGTAGTAACAATAACAATGATAATACTTCATCCAAACAACAATTAGATTTTACAGATCAAACTGCATCGGATGATGAGAGTGAATTCAGCGATGAAAATAAAGAAACAGAAGATGCATCAATGAGAAGTCGGAGTAAGCATTCAAATATTAACAACAGAAATAATAATAATGATCGTAATAATGGTGCAAATCAACTACGAATTTTAGCACATGATACATTAATGGAAAGAATGGCTGGTTTAGTGCAAGTTTGTCGTAAATCTAGTCGAATTGATAATCAAACTGTCACTACTAGTGGTGGTGGTCCTGGTGATGGTTCATCAATGAACTCACCATCATCAACTTACTTTCATAGTCCAACTAATACAATGGCTAGTTCTAGTGGTAAATCACCTGGTTATTGGAGTAATACCAATTATAAAGATGAATCAACTACAGTAAAACAATACCTACCTCAGGTAAAGTGTCTCAGTCATAATATTACCATTACTACTACTCAAGTTATTATTGATATTATTGTGTTTTTAAAAGTATGGTTACTTTCCTTTGCTTACTACCATAAACTGGGAAACAGAGAAAGAAATTAAAGGGGAATTTCTTAAAGTTTGATAGCTGGGAAAGTGATCTCACTTCGGAGTATTATTTTTATCTTCAAAAAATAAGTGTATAGTTTACATCTACTGAATAAATGCTTGTAAGTAGTTAGTTATTTAACATATAGTCTGACATAAATGTTCTTATCTTCATGGAGAAGTGTAATAACAACAATTTAAACAGAAAATAATATAAATTGCTTTTTATTTCATCTAAAATTTCTCATCTGTTTATTATCATCTAGTCTATCTTCAAATCAAAATTACAAATATAATTTAACTTATAAGAATGAAGTTATTCAATGGCTAATATCATTGCTTAGCAGTATAGCAGTCTGATAAGGATTCAATTAAAGTTTAAAAGACTGAGTAAAATGTTACAAGTAAATGATGTATTCAAAAGAAACTCCTGTAACATTGAAATGGTGATAATACCAAGTGATTATCTGACTGAGATTAATTCATTTCTGATCTGAAATATCTAAACGTGACTTAATATTACTTCAAAACAATATAAGTTAAAGTCAATAAGTTAATAACAAAGTAAGAAAGATGAGGATGCGAATAAGGAATTGAAAAAATATGGTCTAATGAAATAAGGATTATGTTAATTCGTTTAAGGAAAACCTTTATTCCTTTTTAACAAATATTCATGCATAACTTAAGGTAGGCCTTCCTTTCTATTTCATTCATGTAACTATTATGACTTCACCGGCAATTTTGATTTTAATAAAATAAAACAGCTTACGAGAAGTTCATAACAAAATTCTAACAGAATAAAATTAAATCGTCATGCTATTCTATCTAAATTATTGTTCCCTTACTCTTAGGAATTATCTATTTTACTTGACTATAAGTTTGACTTATTACTTAGTTTGTGACTTTTTCTTTCAAAAATAATGTCAAAATATAAGTAATTCAAGTGATTGTTTTCAAATAGCTGTTATTATATATCTTTGGTCATATAAATCAGTTGTTGGAAATTGGTCTATAGATTTTATTTATTTAACCATATAAACATTGGTACAAAGCGTGGCCAAAATATATATGCGGATCTCGACTATACCAAGTCGCTGTCCCCAAATGCCCTGGTATGGCAGAGAGTGGGGAAGGTTCCCCCTCCCTGTCGAAATACTCTCACGCGGCCACGCGTATACAACCTGTCACGGAAGTTCTACTCACTGCCTTCTCGTGGCGGGGGTGTTGTTTACGAAAATGAGAGGACGAAAAGCGAATGTCCGGCTCCTCAACTGGATTCCAAACCAGATAGTGCACATGGGTTCCATTATCCTGAGGGAACAAATGGCGTATGAACCGATCGTTGGTCACCAGCTACCATGGAACTGCGTCTCCTCACGATGCTCCACTGCCTTGTGGATCAGACCTTTAGGTCAAAGGCTCGGGTGTGGCCCCCTAAGAAAACTACCTGCTTCGGTCTGGGCACCCGGGCAGTATCACAGTCCACACACATAGCATGAAATTTGTGTTGCGCATATATATTTGGTGCCCCATGTACCAATATTTATGTGTTCAAACAAACAAAAAATAAAAAAGTACCAGGTCGTTTGGGGGCTAGAGATAAGTTAAGTTTAACTTTTATAAATTGAAATTCATTCTCTTTTTAAACCTTTTTTAAAATATGTCTACAGTATGATGGAGTGTGTGATTCCGACTCTGGAGATGAATTAACTGCTGCAGTTGAAGCTGCGGCTTCTTTATGGGATCCGGCTGTGGTAGAACATGCTAAATTCAATACTGTTTCTGTTAATCCTATGTTTATCTCCCCAGATAATATCACAAACGATCCAATACATCATCATCCTGATAAATTGTCGTGTGAAACCGTCAATAATACGGCTGATATTTCTTTAGATCCAGTTAGTAATGGTAGTAGCTCGTTATCTTATTCATCATCACAACAATGTTTACAAATTGATTCTTCTTACAAAACATCAAATATGATGGATCCCATCAGAAATACATGTAATCATACTGTTTCACCAAATGAAACACTTATTTTACAAAACCAACAATTACCACTTACTGTTAATACATCATCTTTACTTAAAACTGAATCTAGTAGTTCAGTACAATCTAGTTTATTTCATGAATTCACAGTACATGATAACAATCCTAATCAGAACAATCGTAGACGTTATAGTTCATCTAGCTCATCGAGTTCACGTTACTACCATCAAATTTGTTCAACTCCACCACCAATCAATGCACAATGGCTTGTTGATCAGGAATCAGAGCAAATTTGGACAAGTCCGGTATGTCTTGTTAATCACTTATTTTATTTTCTCAATGTTAATATAGCCTGTCAGCAACAACGTAGAACTTCGTACATACGTACATCAGTCCGAGTTGCCATATCACATTAGTAAGATTATAAGCAGTAATCGGGAAGATTAGGGTTTGGAGATGTTATTTAAAGAGTATAATCCAGTGAAATAAATTTGGAAAGAGGAAAAAAAGAAAGGGAAATGACAAATTCAGAAAATTAGAATTTGGGAGAACTCAAAGAGTGGATGCACTTGCACCATTGCAAACGATTTTGAGCCATGTCATTCAGGGTCTCTAACCATCGGTTGCTATCATCTCGCGGTCCCCAACCAAGTAGTCATTGACGTACTTTTAGAGATAACTTTCCTCTCCTAGATTTCCAGGGGTTGAACTTCTACCAGGAGGTTCACTTGTTGACTTAGAATATGCTGATGACATAGTTTTATTTGGTGAAGACGCTGACAAAATGCAGAGTCTTCTGACCACTCTAAGCAACAATGCAAGCATGTTCGGGATGCCATTAAAGAAATGTGAAGTCAGTAAGGTGTTTCCTTCAGACAGCCAGCATAACAGTGATGCTGTCTTCCCACAAGGAGGGGTGGGGTTAGAAAAGGTCGACCCTGAAAATGAACACCTCATGTTATCCCGCGGATATCGGTCTCTGACGGTAAGGTTACAGTCAGTCAGTCAGCTACAACGTAGGACCAGGCACATATGTGCATCGGTCCAGGTTGCCATACCGCATCAGCACACAAGATGAACACCGGATTCATAGCAGTGGTTAGGTCAAAGGTGGTAATATATAAGAGAATGATTGCATATAGAGATATAGTACAAGAAGAAAAAATTGGTTCGTAGAAAGAAAGGTATGAAGCGATTTTTATCTCTTAGTTTAAGGGAAGACAGGGTTACAACAAGTACGGAGCTAACACGAAGACTACTCAAAGAAATGTGTGTGACCGGCCTCAACCAGTTGTTACTTGGGCACTGCAGTTACGCTGTCAGGTCATTAAGACCACCTCTAAACTTATTTCGCTTTCAGGTACCTCTAGAAGAACCGGGAAGTTATGACCACCCTCATACTTCTGACAGTACTGAAATTCGCTGTATTCATAATCAACTTTACTCTTATTTCTCTTACCTCGACTATCAACTCTAAACTTCTTGTTTTGACTTTCTCTTCAAGCTTACCTATGTCCAACGAGTTTAGTGCGCGAAATGCTGTTCTAATTATACTGAAGCCTCGCTCTAAACTACTGATTGGAGCCTTCGACGTAAGTACTCTATGTCAAATCGGCCAACAGGCCTCCATGACTAAGACCTTAGAATCTCGCGCAATTGATGTTGAGTTGATGATGTTAGACGTAGGGTAATAGGCAACGACGGTAAATCAGTTGATGAGGTTGTGAATCTACATCGACTGAGGTGGTTGGGCCAAGATGTATTACGCATGTCCAACCACCGACTACCACGATACTCAATTCTGACTAGTGTTGGATACGGATTTAAGAAAGTTAGGATCGGCCAAAACAAAACATGGCATCAGTTCATAAAGTAACTAACTTCTTGTCTGAGCCATATTGGTAGATGCAGACTACTTGATTGGGGTCCACGCGACTATCATAACCAATGGTTGGAGACTCTGATTGACATAGCTCAGAATCGACCACAATGGTGTAGGTGTATGCACTCTCTGTCTTCCCCTAAACCATGAGATTACTTTATACTTTCCTTTCTACAAACTAAGTCTTTCTCCCTGTACCATATCCTTATATGCAATCCCTTTTTGCTACCGTTAAAGTAACTACTTCTATGAATTTGGTGTTCATCTTGTTGTCCTAATGTGGTACAGGAACTTGGACCGATGCATATGTATGCCTGGTCCTACATTGTATCCGACTAACTTTATTTCATAAAGTAATTGACCGTTTGTTGTGTTTTATGTTAGTGGTTATAAATGAAATATTGGGCTGATCTACCGTTTTCATTAGTCACATTAATATTAATTGTGCATATTAGCATATTTTGTCTTCTTATGCCTGATTTATGTTGTTGCTTTAAATTCGTACAGCGCTCAATACTTTATCGCTTACTTACGAGAATTCTCCATCGTCTGTCCGCTCATCCAGTCAGTTCACCGGCAGCTATCGGATTAAGGAGACTTCTTCGTTGGCTTTCTACAATGACAGACACTCTTTTTCCATGGCTTAATATAAATGAAATGGCTAGTGATGGTAGGTTAATAGTTTCTTCTTTGGTGTTTTTTTAGCAATATTTTTGAAGATGATGTGGGAATAGTTCTATCTAGTCAGTATAATTCACTTGAAAGTGTTTCTTTTCCAAGTATACAAACAAATCTATGTGAGGACATTAATTCTTTTCATAAATTGTTAGCTTTAATTCACTGTAACACTATATATGACTATGGGACGTTTTTGATATTCACTTGACTTTTTAACTTATATTCATCTATTAAACCATGCCTATACTAATAATGATAATAAATTTATCTTTCTACTTATGTAATCTATGCGAAGCGTTAGTGTTATTTAAAAGCTGTTTGAAAATGTCAGTTCAATCTTTTGCATTGGGTGGTTTGTTTGGGTTCTATAATTGTTGTATTTATCTTGTGAAACTTCTATTAATTTGCTTCCTCATGGCACAAAAAAACTCTTCATACTACTAAGCACTGAGAAGTTCACCACACAAAGACAAATAACGATAATATAGCAGAATGGAAGAGAAGAGAGGAGCTGTAATTAGGAATACGATACGATAGGGCATCAAAAAAAGTTTAAGTATGTAATTATGATAACTTTTGTTCAGTCTGGAGATACATCAACTAGTTTATGAATATTGGTATAGAAAACTGGGGCTGGATTAGTGGTAGCATATATTAAGATTTAAATCATTCTTGTTGCTAGGATTATTAATAAAATAATTCTATTAATATAGTTCTTTAAAGTGTTCAAATAAATATTATACTCTTGGCTAAGTTAGTGTCCCTTTATGTTTAAGGAAGTCGCTATTAAGGTGTAACTTAGTAATTAAAACATTCGATTCTCCATCAGTCGATCTCAATTTCAAATTCCTCTCCATTGTCAGTTTGAGCTACCAAATTGTATCGCTAGTTCTTGTAAACAGTACGACACTAAACATGACGTAAGTGAACTTGTGATTGGTAGATCAGTCATGTTTTGATACAATAAGACATCAGAGGTAATCTAAATTTGATAATTTTTTTGTTATTCCTCCACATAAATAATACCTGAAGTATATTTTAAGGCATTAACATATATTCATTTATTTGCTTTTTTTATAAATGATATCAAAACATTATTTAAAGCGAACTAATGAGAATCGATTACTTATGTATTTCTTTCTAGTTCGTGATATTCTACGCCAATCTAATGGGAAATTTAGCGATGTCGCTAAACATTTTCAAGAACGTTCTTTAATTGAACTTCATGAATTAGTGTGCCCAGTTATTGCTCGTTTAAATGAAAACTATTCACGTATTCGAAATCCTTCATCTGGTGAAACAGTTAATAATGTAAATTCTGTTTCAAAATGTTATTTACACGTTCTTGAACACCTGAAAGAGTATCATCCAAATTACCAATTGTATGAATCACCAGAAATAGATCCTTTACAATTTACTAAACAGTTCTTACTTTCATGCAAACGTTCTCGTTGTCAACGTCCACATGAAATGGAAATGCTTGAACAAATGAAACAAAGTGCCCGTGATGATCGATGGGTTGAACATTGGTCTTCAATTGAAGAAGAATGTTAGTCTTCTGTTTTTTTAAAAAATTGTTTTCGCTCATATTAAACTAATCATAAAAATAGATTTATATTAGCAGGATTGTGTAGTAGATTAGTCTTTCTGAATTTAGCGAATTGATAAATTGTTCATGGAACTGAACTCTTATTTTCAACAGAATAAGTATACCTATTAATCAACCGGTGTTGCATAGTAATAATAATAATAAGTATTCTGAATATAATTACAGAATTCACATCAGTTTACAAATATGATCAGGTTGGAAGTCGGGATACATTATTTGAGATATGACTCACAAATCTTATTGACTAAACATTTATCACAGAGATCTCAATACTGTAAAACATAAGATGCAAACAAAATAGATAATCAAAGTTGATATCATTTTAGAATACGGAACCAATTTCGGATTCAACAATGTAATATTTATCAATCTTTTAAACATAACTGTCTGTAATAGGTAATATGCAAAAAAGCACAAACACGATTAAAAAAAATTGACGTAATTACGAAGTGATGAGGATTTACTATTGATACATGTCACATCTACACCAAGGAAAATACATTTAGCAGTTAATTCACTAGTAGTGAGACAACTTTAAGGAGTCACTTTAAGTTTTCACTTAAATACAAGATAGTATAGTCATGATTTATCTACCTAAACAAGGATCTCTGTCTATCAACAATGTTCTACGTAGCTATTTAATATCGATTCGCACACATTATTTTAATCATAACATATTAAATATAGTTCGCATTAGTTTAATAAAAGTATTTCTTACTCATCTACTTATTATACTCATATCATTTCAATAGGAAAACAACTACATACCCAAAATCAACGACTCCTTACGTTAACTACTGATAATACTAATTAGTCACCTCTCAATCTACATTCCGTCAATAAACATTTATAAAAGACTGTTTAAGCATAAGGGAAATGATATTTGAAGAGTGCAAATAAAGATGACAGTAGAGAATGAACATAAAAATCCTAAAGCATGTTATAGATTTTCTCACATCCCTATGAATCCCCAGATTAAATAATATCCATATTGATGTTTGTCTTTGCCATCTTTAGGCCATCGTTCATACCGTATCGGTTTTCATACAAGTTCGTTGATTGAAGACTTTTTTTTGTACTTGTATTCCAATTGTATGTATACTTAGTGCCTTACAAATGGTGAACTTTGAGTTTCTTTTATCTTCTTTCGTCTATCATTTCGTTTTAGTGGTTGTCAAGAAATTTCAAAATCATTTAATCAAGTTGTACAGGAAACGTCTACATGAATTATCAGTCCCATCTTCTCAACTCTTCGAAAATAACGTAAATAGTAAATGTAAACCGACCATGTCCTCTATTTGTAATTCTTCAGATAGTGTAGCTGAAATACCAAACTGTATTAATAATTCTGAATTAATTCAGTTGAATTCGCTAACCACTACCACTATTATGAATAGCAATTTAGAATTATCTAATCATGAGGTGATTAAAGATGATAATGAATTAAACACTAATACAGTAGTAAATCAAGAATCTCATCAGCAAGATTCTGATATCCCAGTGGAATCATTATCGCCTGTCAAAGATGGTGATAACGGTGAAAATAAATCATCTACAGAATTAACAACCTTTGATTCTGAACGCTTTTATTTCGCATTGGACAAATTTTGGAATGAAGAGGAGATAAGAAAACCGATTGTTTTATCTGGTCACATTCCATCATTCCGTTTAGTTGACCTTGATGAAGAAGAGGAGTTGAATAAAAAGGTTGCCGCTGATGCCTTACGTAAGCATTTGATTGATGATCTAGAAGATGAAGATCCAAGACGTTGTTTATTATGTGGTTATCATGGAGATGATAATATCGAGGGGCGCTTGTTATACACAGGATCAGACACTTGGGTAAGTTATTGTTGAATTATTTAATTGACGACTGTTAATATTGGCTACTACTAATTGACATAACCATGTCATGTTATTACCTAAGAACTTGGAGGAAGATTACAATAAGATCGCTACCAGTTTTAATTCGAAGCTCCAACTTACTGTTGTACTGATGAGATATATTGTTCAGAGCTACGCCATGAGTATGTTAAAGTTGACTTAGATTTTATACATATCTATAATCATTATTGCACTACATTTATTCTCTTGTGCTACATAACCAACATTTGGAACACCAGCATCAATGCGTAAATTTACTGATTTTTTCCATGGTTCATAAAGAAAGCTGAGTGCAGATACCAATTACTGTCAATTGGACATACTTCCAAAGATACACGATACAAAGTGCATACCACACAGACGTAAATTACAAGCTGACTAAATGAGCTTATCTTACAGGTTTTACGTCATCTGTTTGAATGCAAAAATCCAGGTGATTAAGTGAAGACAGTGGACAATTATTCACAATATTCAAATACCGATTAATTGTTAAGGTTCGTATCCACTATCATCTATCAGGTAACACACCGGCGGCGATTGTTTCACAAGTACGAATCATTATCGATCTATGTATAAAACAGTTCAGATGATCGTATTCTATAAATTGGTCGTCTTTTTTAAATGTTGGTTTATTCTTTGTGATAATTAGGTGCACATAAATTGTGCGTTATGGTGTAATGATGTTTATGAAGAGGATTCTGGTGAGCTAATTGGTTTGTCAGACGCTATTCGACGAGGTCGTTCCAGCAAATGTGCTGATTGTGGCAAATATGGTGCAACTCTTTATTGTTCTAATATGAAGACTGAGGTTTGTCCTCTAGCTTTATTAGTCTCATCTAACAACTGTGATTTGGACTGTGTTGGTGCCGTGCATTTCTCTTGTGCTCTAAGGCGTTGCCCTCCGTTACCACAATGTGTTTTTACTGCTGATCGTTCTTGGTTTTGTTCTCCAGTCTGTCATCATACAGTTATGAACCAACGTCTTGCGGAAGCTTTACATTCATTAAAAAAGTCATCCAAAGGAAACCATAACAGAAAATTCGGTTATCCTGAATCATGGGACCATTCATCTGATGAAGATTTTTCAGCTGGATCATTTAATCCGGCTGATTTTGCAGATCATCCTTCATTTGCATCAATGGAAGAAGCTATTGCTGACGATTTAGAGGTATGCATATATATATATATATATATATATATATATATATATATATTACTACTTTCGAGATTCCAATTTACAAGTCGCCCTTAAAATTCCATATTATTTTTCTTTTATTCAGCCAATTGGTTTAGGAGATTTGCTTGTTTGTCGTCGAGTGTTTGTCCCATCCGATTGTTTTGCAGCATCAGTGTATCCTCAATCAATAAATGGAAATCTTATTTCAAATAATCTCCTAATGAGTGATAATGAACAGTCGGAATTAATGAGAGCTGCAAAAGAAGCTGTATCTACACTTGCAGTTTCACCGAATTCAATCTCTTTTCTTCACAATAACGGGATTTCTGCAAAAAATCTTGTTATTACCATAGGATCTTTACGTGTTGATAGGTTGGGAGATGTTCGTGAAGCTTCAGACTCTTTAGCCATGGCTAAATGGATTCCAGGTTCTTTTGACGAACGTAATACAGTTACTAGGAGCAATTACTTGTGCCCTATAAATTACCGGTAAGTTGCTAAAAATTACCGTTGTATAAAGAGTGCTTAGATTTGCTTGTTACATTAGTGTTTGACCGATATTAATAGGTATTATGTCCTTTATAGAATATTCTATCCTCTAACTGTATATTGTATTGAATTTTGTTTACTTTTATTCGACCTAGTGATGATTACATCGTTACATTGTTTCGAACACATATAGAACATTCTGTAACAAACGGTCAGTCAGCTACAACGTAGGACCAGGCACACATGCATCGGTCCAAGTTCCTGTACCACATTAGGACAACAAGATGAACACCAAATTCATAGAAGTAGTTACTTTAACGGTAGCAAAAAGGGATTGCATATAAGGATATGGTACAGGGAGAAAGACTTAGTTTGTAGAAAGGAAAGTATAAAGTAATCTCATGGTTTAGGGGAAGACAGAGAGTGCATACACCTACACCATTGTGGTCGATTCTGAGCTATGTCAATCAGAGTCTCCAACCATTGGTTATGATAGTCGCGTGGACCCCAATCAAGTAGTCTGCATCTACCAATATGGCTCAGACAAGAAGTTAGTTACTTTATGAACTGATGCCATGTTTTGTTTTGGCCGATCCTAACTTTCTTAAATCCGTATCCAACACTAGTCAGAATTGAGTATCGTGGTAGTCGGTGGTTGGACATGCGTAATACATCTTGGCCCAACCACCTCAGTCGATGTAGATTCACAACCTCATCAACTGATTTGCCATCGTTCCCTATTATCATTCGTCCAACCTCACTATTACTTATCCCTTGATCCCAGCAGATGCGACCAATATTTCTAAGACATCTGTGGTCAAATACTAGTAGCTTACGAGTATCTCCTACTCTTAATGGTCATGTTTCGCTGCCGTAAAGTAGGATAGAACGAACTGCCGCGCAGTATACTCGTCCCTTAATTGATGGACGGATATCTCGCCTTCGTCATAGGTGGTGACGTAAGTTGGCAAAAGCCGAACTAGCTTTTCGAATCCATGCAGAAATTTCGTCAGACTAGACTTCCAAGATAAGTGACGTCGTCGGCGTGTTCGACTATTTCACTCCCTATGCTTAGTTCATGTGTTGACGCAGACCAGTCCTGGAACAACAACTTGTATTTAGAGGGGGTGGAGAAGCGCATCCCAAACATCCTGTCATTGTTGCTCAGTGCTACCAGAAGACTCTGTATATTATCATCGTCTGTACCAAACAGGACTGTCATCTGCGTATTCTAGGTCAACACTTGCTGTTACCTTGACGTGGTGGTCAGGCATACCTATCGTGATGAACCAATCGAGCTGTACTGATTGGAACAATCGTTCCTCAAGATCCTACTATACCAGACAGGTCGGTTGAAGAACGGTAAGACTAGAGGCAGTAAATCCAAGGTCCTACAGTGAAGTCGTACTGATGACTTTAAAGAAGTGTGACGTCAGTAAGGTGTTTCCTTCAGACAACTAGCATAACAGTGATACTGCCTTCTCACAAGGAGGGGTGGGGTTAGAAAAGGTCGACCCTGAAAATGAACACCTCACCTTATACCACGAACTTCCGTCTCCAGCTAACGTGAAAACTACTCACAGAAATGTCGTGTGTGACCGACCTCAACCAGTTGTCACTTGGGCACTGCGGTCACGCTGCCAGGTCACTAAGATCACCTCTAACCTAATTTCCTTTTCAGGTGCCTCTAGAAGAACTCCTCCACGATGTGGGCAACCGGAAAGTGATAACCACCCTTATACTTTTAACACCATTCAAGTCTAACAAACATGTTTAGAAAGGTTTTTCAAACTTGTGTAATGGAGATACTTTTTCTGGGTTTATTTCGTAAATGATTCATTTGCCGATTTTAAATAAGAGTAGACGTATAATATGAAAGAAGAGTAGAGATTTGCTTTTAAATTGACTATAGTGTTCTAAATCACAGTATGGGAATTTTTCATACATTGTATTTTTAGATAAAAGAAAAAGAGAGAGATCCTTTTCACTTGTTATCAAAGCTATCGATTATCAATCAGACACAATCTGCTTAGAAAGGTGTTCTCACTTTATAGTTGTCAGCTTATTCCGACATACGTAGGATTCAGTTGTATTGTTTGATGATGTTCCTCGGACACCTATTTTGTATTTAGCACTATATACCATTATTTTATGTTTAGGGTAGAATTTTATTCTTCTACTGAAGTTTGGATTCTAAAATTTTGCTCATTTTCGAGCAATTAACGTGAATTGATCATGCTGACTGTTACATGAATCTAATACCCCATATTATGATTATTGTCTTAGGGTTATCAAACATGACGTGTTCATCTTTATTATTATTATTATTATTATTATTATTATTATTATTATTATTTTAGTGCAAGGCGCATTTATTGGAGTTGGTCAAAGTTGGATTCTCGTATACCATATACTCTTCAAGTAAAGCAGAGTCAAACAGTACATACAACCTCCGGTTACATGGAAACTTGTCCTACTTCACGTCCATCTTCCAACACGAATGTCAGTTCTAATAAATCTTTTATTTTATCTAAATTGCCTGTTGTCAATCCTAGTAATTCAACTCCAGTTTATAAAAATCCTCGTCTAGTCAATGTTGATAATCGTATCAGACTGCTAACTCCTCTGAACAACAGATCTGTCAATATTATTAACAGTAGTATTAACAATAATGTCAAAAGTATTGATAATACATTATCTCCAGTTCAAGATGCTTCCAAAACGTTAACAGCTATTCTAACTAATGCCTCATCTATTGTTACTCCTCAAACTGGGTATGAACCTCCTCTTTTGATGAGTCAACCGATTAGTGGTCACCTAGTTAGTGTCACATCTTATTCAACTTTACCAGTTAGTAGTTTTCAGCTTATGGCACACACAGTTAACAACCCGATAAATCAAGGACAGATTATTCAATCATCTGCTTTAAGCAGTCAAAATTCGTCATTGAAAATACTAAACACTGGTAAGATCTGTTTTATATTTAACTGTTGTTTTTTTCTCACTACAACATCATATGTAATATTATTTTTAGATTTAATCGAAATGGTTCTGTGTTGGTTGTTATTAGTTACTTTGGTATTTTTTGGGAGAGGGGTCGTGGTCATCACTCACCGATATAGATTTATAACTATATAGACATATTGCATATTTGAACTCTGTCCTATTGACTGAAGTCGTTACAACTATAAACTTGAGGTTTTATGTAATAACTTTCGTGTGCTTATTATACTAGTCAGCTATCTATCTACACTTCTAGAAGGTTGAAGTCACAATTTGGTAATACTCACTGTTAAATATGATGCAAGAGTAGAGTACTTGTCCTATAATATGACGTGCTGTGTCATAAACTGCTATCGGATTACATCTTTTATGTCATTGTTTACAATTAACTTATTGTTCTGCACAAATAATTTTAAATTAGTTAATTCAAATAAATCCTCATTTTAATGCCTGTGAATACAAGTATTATGTGTGTGTGTGTGTATGTATGCAGAAGAATTTCTTATGAAATGAATTATTGTGCTAGAATACTCGTTATAAGTTTTTTACTGTCGATAGATCGGGGGGATCAGTAGTTAAACCGTTCTAATTTCATCCACTTAGTCACCAGTTCAAACCGCGTCCTACTTATTTTGATTTTGAAAACTAGGCAGTATTACTAGCGCTTACACTCGCAACCATATACAATAATTTGTACCTGATAAAAATAAATTGTGTAAATAGAAAAAACAAAATTCACTGAATTTCCCAATGTAGTTTTGATGTGTTTATTATTATTTTTTCATTTAAGTTGGTATATAATTGTTGTAAATTCTATCATTTTATTACAATGCTTCTAGACTTATAAAATCGTTGTTGTATTTCTCAAATGTAGAATAATAACGGCAGTGTGAATACAACTTGTAAATATACTGGATGGGATACTGGTATTATATCATCAATTGAAGTTGACATAACTACTTCGATATTTTGGTTTTGTGCATACTATTCATTAAGTGTTATTATGTGAAAGCATTTTTATTGACGTTTATTTGTTTCATAATTTTATGCGTGTATTCTTGACTTTTATTTATTTATTTAAACAATCATTTTATGCTTCGCACCAAGCATTATGTCATTGTAATATCGTAATTTCATTGATTTATTACAGTATCACTTTGTCCTTCATCGAATTTGCAACAGAATCAGCAGATTTTACAACAACGTCAGCTGTTAGCAACACCTCAAAAACATTTAGTCCCAGTTCATATTACACCTCAGGTACCAATGAACGTCAATGCCACTAATCTAACTACTACGCCCGATAGTATAAATAATATTGTACCTACAGAAATAAATTACAAAATTGGGATTAATCCTTCTATAGGTAAACTTTTTGTTTGTTAAATTTATTTTGAATGTTGTTTCTCATGTATATGAAGATATTAGATTGGATATTCATGAAAATGAATCAGCGGTTGTAAAATAATTTATTGTGTAACATTCTCTAATTCATTTGACGTTTGAATACCTAGTTGCTTGTTAAACTATTAGTTGAAGATCAGGCGATTACTTTGGAATACTCGATTAAGGGTTTCTTCGTCATTTCTTCCACGAGCAAACGTATTGCCAAATTTTACGTTTATCACACTATTCAATAGCTTCATCCACCCTTTGTGGTTAACATAAAAACGTTAGTCTTGTGTGACGGGTGTAATATAACTCAAGCGCTTAAAGCCGATATAAGTAGTTGCTACAGCAGATTCCTGAGTCCCTTATTGTTCTAGGCTCCTGAAACTAATATTCCTAAATGGTCTGAGATTAGAGAGTTTCCTGTCTCCTTCAGATGAAACTTATCTATCTCCAACCAGGGTTTAAACAGTAGACATGCGTTTTTGCTTTTCACTTATGCAGATACCCTTACTAGGGAAATGTGATAGTTAGCACTTTCATGGATAATTTGCTAAATGATCTGGTTCGAAAAATAGTTCTGATGTCCTAGTTTTGTTCTAAATGAATTACTGTGTCTCTGAGTGTTTAGTCACTCTTGTTGTTATTAGTGACACCAACAAGCATCTGTTACAGATCTATTACAGTTTACCATTTAGTGTTGTTGAATATCAAATGATTTGTACTTCATTTTTTCTCTTTTTTTCTTCCGTTTTATGTATAACAGTTTCTGTTAATAGTACACAGTTTAATAAAAGTAATTATACCAATATAATTTCTTCTAATAAACAACAAACACAACAACATTACAAATCTCATTTGATGAATGCATATAATGGAAAAACATTTATTTTACCTAATCAAATTCAGCCAAATATTATATCTGTTAATAGTAATAATAACATTAATAATAATTTGTCTTTATCTCCTGCAATAATCCCTGTAAATCAGTATAATGGTGATATAATTACACATCATATCGGCACCACTGTCAACCCCATCACAGTTAATACAAATAATAATAAATCATCAACATTGCCTTATAATAAATCTATCGGATCTACTGTTATACGTATTCAAAATGTTCATTTAACTCAAAAGAGTGGAGTATTGACAACACCGACAAAAGATACACAATTAGCAACACAATTAGATGGTTTATTTCAAAAGTGAGTTTTATATTTTATTTTTAACAATAAATAATTTATTTTCGATCATGTTTACATATAGTATTGTTAGAAATTAAATAACTAGTTAGAATGATTTAGTGTTAAAAATTGATAATAAAGATCAATTTAGAATGAATCTATATTACCTTGTCACTGATGGGAACATCAATATCTGATACCCTATATAACACAGAAATTAATAGGCGGTAGTAAGTGATAAGGTGATAAACTTATTTGCAATTCTTAACATTTTCTAGCTGAACACCATCAGCTGTTAGAGAAGTAGGATAACTCAACATGTGTACCGTACTTCATTTATCTTATTCTGCTTAATTTGAAAAAGAAGTGTGACTAATTAGCATTTGTTATCCGTATTTTCACATTTAAAAATTTTATAACTTCATAACAGTGCTCCCTTTAAATCTATGTTATATTGTAGTAATCCATAAGATCGATTTTTCATAGACACCCAACTATGTGGCCTGCGATGCGCCTCATGTTTAAATCTATTCAAATGACTAAAATTAAACTGTTTGTTTGGGAGACCCCAAAAAATCTCTAAGGGGCTCTGAAAACTCTGGGAAACATCTCATCCAACCAGCATCCAATGGAAGTGTTATGTCCTTGATGTCTGGCTTTTCTATCACGCGACCTATCGGCCAGTCAGAATACGACTTATACAATTTCGCACTATGCCAAATGAATGACGTTCAACCGCTATGAACAGTTTAGCGTCCTTATTGGTCCTATTTGCTCCTAGCCCATCCACTTGAGTCCAGAACACAATACCAGCTTCTGTAATATGAATCGAATCGTTTATTTCAGACATACTGGATTTATATACTAATCAAACAAACCACATCGTACCATAAAATAGAAAAAAAACATTTGTACAATATTTGACAAATGAAATAAATATTGGCCAATAGGAAATGTCCATTTAAAGTCCAAGGACACCATTAGACTTAACATGATAATTATTGGATAATTGTACAATAAGAATATTTATAGAATATTAGTCTATTAACAGCCCTCGGAAGTTACCTGTAAATTAATCTTCACTGGGTTATAACAGGAAGTTCCTCAGGAACATCTAGAAAGTGAAGAGTCACGTGTCACATTTCTGATTGAATAATTACCTATCCTGCTACTGTGTTTAGAAGGGTTCCAGAACTTTCCAGATGCTCAAGGTCATCTGAAATGCTATAAATACCTTAGATTTTCTGTGCATAAACTAACCTTGGAGTAAAGCGTTCTTTCCATATTTCACCCCTATTCTCTCGTGTTCAAGTTGCCGTGTAGATTTAGCCTGGGGTTATTAGAAGAGCTTAGGAAACCGAATCAAGCGTTAAGTTAAAAGATTTATCAGTTTTAATGACAGTAATCTAATCCTGAGATTTTAGTAGTTTTTACTTCAATTATAAAATAAAATAACTTTCAAAATAGTATTTACCATTTCTTTAAATATTTAAGAGCAATCATTAAGCCAAATGAGTTCTCGAATGGTCTAACGTATTGATGATAATGTTGTCCACTTTTTTGTATTTCAGTATTGGCAATGTTACAAGTGTTAGTCAGAATAAACGAGGAGTAGTTTCAACAGTAAGCTATTTTCCCCATTTATTATGTTGTATTATGTTTATCTTTGAAAGTGAATTAGATTTTACACTTTTTCCATGCTTTTCAGTATATATTTATCCGAGTTATATATAATGCATATTGTACCTTAATAAAAAATTCTTTATGATTACTTTAACTGACTAAAGATAACACATATTCATATGTTACATTAATTGACTTTGGACATCGAGTACGAAGCGAACTTGTGTTCTTCTTTAAACATATTCACTGACAGCGGAATGAAGAACTTTACTAATGAAAAATGCAAACCTTTCTAGAAAAATTCTTGCCACCATCGATCAGAAAGGGACTTTTTCCATAGTTGCTGTCACTGAATTTCGGACCGTTTGCGTTAATTTGAATCAGGTGCTATGACACCAGCATTATCAGAGACACTTCTAAATTTTCTACAAATACATAATTATTTCCAGACTTTTACTTATATAATTCTTTGTTATTTTTCATTTCCCATTAGAATTTATTACCCCAACCTGAACATAAACTACTTCCTCAATTTGATGGTACTGGTGACGACGATGATCCTGACTATGGATCTGGTTCTGTTCATAAACGTTTGTATAAATGCCGTTCATCTTCACTTGTGTCCTCTGGTAGTTCATCATATTCTCACAGAACAGCAGCTTCTGGACGTAGTCAATCACAACTGCCAAATAGTCGCCTTAATAAAAATGACCCATTAATAAAAGCAAATAAAAGTGCTCGTGTTACTTCTGATCCCTCGTCTGCCAAACCTTCAGGAAAACGACGTTGGATTGAAGATCGTATCAGACAACAGGAATTGGCTCATTTAGTGTCAAAGGCTAAACAGGCTAATCATGCTCGCCTTTATCAGAATGAAGTTGAGAAACATGTGAGTCTTTTCTTTATTTTAATTAAATAACTAGACTTTAAACACTGAAACAAACAAATAACAGACTTCTAATGATTATCTTGTATTCGTACTTATTGCTAAACTTAACTACAAAGTTTTTTCGCTTTACAGTTTTCTAAAATCTATTTTATTTTAGCCTACATATAATAATACATATTTTTCCAAATCACAGATTCGCATTGTTTTGAAAGAGTAAGGTTCGGTTCACCGGGTAGTTGTTAATCATCCATCATCGATTATATTGGATTTAGCTTATATAGACTGGTAAATAAGTGTATAATACTTGGTCATTGAGTTTTATATTATTCTTGAAGCTATATGGACTTTATAACTTTTCACTGTCAATATGCATATTTATAAAATTGTTTAATCCATTCCATAGTATAAAAATAACAGTGATAGGATTAATACATTGTCTTTGTTTTCTTTATACAATAGTTATTTTCTTTTCTATTTAATAGGCAAGATCATTTCGTCTTACCTTTTCCATTGATGGTATGGTACGTTCAGCTAATAGCCCAATGGCTGCTTGGCGTGCTGTGATAATGCGTGTTTCAGCTCTACGTGAAAAACAAGGTTTAAAGCCATTGATTTGTACAGGTATGTTGACTTTCGTATTATATATATATATATAATTTTGGTTGGAAAAATTCAGGTTTACAACCTGTACGAGCGCTATTTGAGGTGAATACTTAATCGTAGCTTTTTATAGTAAATTATATTTTCACACGTAATTTTGACTGCAGTAATATAATAGTAGCTAATTGTACTCTATGAAACGGTGATTTAGAGACTAGTGCACGTGACTGCCGGTTATATGTTTACCAGCTATCACACAAAAGCATGTTTAATTCCTAATTTGCATAAATCTTTACTAAGTTTTATAGTTGTAACTGTTAGATTTCTACTTTTTAAAAATGTTTTTCTGATCTCGTTACTGTGATGTCGGTTTTTTGATATTAATAATTATATTCTTTTCTTTTAAATAAAAAAAGCTATTGATGGATGGACACAATTCGGTTTAAATCATCGTTATACAATATTTCTAATCGAACAAATGCGTGGAGCGCTTCATTGCTATCGTTATAGATTTCGATATCACTGGCAGAAGATCGATCGCTTACGTCAAAAGGTATACAACAACATCTCTTTTCATATTTTAATATTTTACTTATTTGTGGTTGTAAATAAATGAATGGTTGAGATTTTGTGTGATGATAATTGAAATAAACAGTAACAGATTAATGCCCAAATTAACTTCGAGTAATGTTACTTCATTTCATTGATAATACGTAACTTTCCTTTTATATAGTTTTTTTCAAAACTGTAAGTAGTTGTAAAATACTTGATTGTGATTAGTCTATTCAAATGGTTATATTAACATTCACGTTATTTCTATTGATTCAATGTTTGTTTTATTTCACAGTTCACTCCTCCTGTACCCTGTTCTGAAGGCTGTGCTCGCGCTGCCCCATGGACGAAGCCTCGTCGTCCACACAACCATGCTCATGATCCTCTTGGATTTCTTCATTGTAAAGCTAATCCTCCTCCACGACCTTTAGTTAGCTCAGGTGATGATAATTTACTTCCTTATCAAGACCCATCCTTAGCTAATACAAATGAGCCGGCTAAACTTTTGTCTCCTAATGAACAAGCCACTTGTAGAGAAGCTGCTCGTCAAGCTGCTCTCTTAGTTGCGACACAACTTAAGCTTCCACAACGTCTGCGTAAATCATGTATAGCAAAAGCTGTTGTACGAGCAACTGGGATACCATTACAGTCTACACCACCAAAATCAGTAAATGACAGTGAGTTTGTCAACTCTACCGATCAAGTGTTTGGAATAAATTATTCTGATGATGAAGACAGTTGTTCCGTATCATCGAATCATGAAGAAGAAGAAGAAGGAGGAGGAGAAGAAGAGGACGAAGAAGAAGACGAGAACGACGTAGGAACAGTAAGTTTAGTAATAGCTTATTCCACTAGTGGGTTTTAGGGAACTTGATAACTTTCTATTTATTATTCTATCTTTTTCTGATGGTACAATATTAGTATTTTGTAGGACTGTGAAATGTTAGGTGGTTGAGGTTATTCAATAAGGTATCTCGGACCTAAATTTCATGTTAGTTGGTACTCGTCAGTACAAGAGTTAAATACAATTTTCAAAGAATTGATAGTTTCATAGTTTGAGATGTCATCACAGCTATTTAAATTGAAACTGACTTCCCACAGTACTGTAATTTATTTGACTATACAGTAACCAATCTCATATTTGTCCAATTCTTAGTGCTCGTCGATTAAAAAGACCATGCTTCCGACAAATAACAACGATCCAGCGTTAATAGTTTGCACTGTAATAATAGATAAAGAAGATGGGACTTTCGGGATAGCCTTGTGCCACGAACAGAAGTCAAAAGTTGAAAAGAAATAATTTTTATATAGTAACATACGATAAACTTGGCACATAAAGTTAGCTAACTAAAAGGATAGATAACGAATCAGATAACAGCATGGGTCATTTCAGAAATATGAATAAGAAAAGTTTTGTCGAGCTTAACCTTTGAAAAAAAGAGCTGGCTTGTCATAACAAAAACTAGATAACTTAAACTCTCTTTATCCCATTTCAAAAATACTTTTTTTAATTCATTCAACTCCATGTAGCTTTAAAAACTATCACTTTTAACAAATGTTGACTAACCGTTCGATCGTTAGTACTTCCCGTATATACAATTAACAATGATAATAATATCATCAGTATAGGGTTGTGGAGATAATGGTATGACATTGATCGGTCTATGATCTCAATAATAATATCACTTGACTATATTTATCTGCATTGATCTTCTTCTCTTCAAGGTTGCTACACAATTTAGTCGATTGTTATCAGGACCATTGGCTCGATTTTATCGTGTATCTGTACATCCATCTCGTATACATGGTCGTGGTTTATTCGCTTTACGAGAATTTCGAGAAGACGAAATGGTTATTGAATATACTGGAGAGTTAATACGAAGTATTATTTGTGATGCTCGCGAATTAAGATATAGAGCAACTGGCGTAGATTGTTACATGTTCAGAATAGATCCAGATTGGGTTATCGATGCTACGTATGCTGGAAACGCTGCTCGATTTATCAACCATGCATGTGATGTATGTGTAGTTTTGTATCTATAAATATTTATATTTTAATCGAACGATAATAACTACAGTACTATTAATGGAAATCAGAAATCTCCAAGTTATTTCACAATACTTGTAGAATCTCCTTTTCTTCTTCACCTCTTGCAACTTTACCTAGTTAGCGTTTATCTGTTTTGGTAACTATCACATGAAATGTTATTTTTTCTTGTGTAAGGAAAAAATGTTAATTGTAAAACCAACTCACAACCAAGGATTTTTCCGATCAATATATAATAATGATAGTCTGCGCGCAGTTTCACGATCTTCATCCTTTAATATTACAAGAATTTTTATAGTGAATAATGAAGTCAGTATAATTGTTGTTAAAATTATTTGCTTTACAACACGTAAAATGCGGGTGTTTTTGGGGTGGTGCTTATCGCGAAGATCCTTTTTTCCAGTTTAATTTATTCACACTTAATGTCACCATTGATTAAAAATATTGTGTGATATACCACTCAGAGTCGGTCACAGTGACGAAGATGCATATACTCTCTGTTTCTACCCAAATCCTAAGTTTAGAAATTGTTTATTCTGCGAATCAAATCTTTTCTCTCAGATCATATTTTCTATTACTAATGTTACTAATTTAACTATTCTGCAATTTATCTTGACCATTTCATCTCAGTTCGCTAGTATGGAACCGATGTACATATATGACTAGTTCTGTGTTACTTATAAATGACTGAATTCGTTCATCGTTTTAAAAGTGTCTGTATAGAATTGTATTTGTTTTCATGAAATAAATGTACATTTGATAAAAAGGTCTTAGTCGGTGTATGCTATCAAATCCATAATGTTTAAATATATTCTAGTCAGCTTTCTAACAAGTTTCAATATACTATTCACTTACAACTTATCCATAACAAATAGGAATTCTTCCTCAGATTACTTTATAAATTATTAAGATTTCCTAATACATTATAATGAAAAGTTGTGTTCACAAAAATGACTTCATTTATGAATCATAATTTTAGTACTCATTATAGGATATCATCTACAAATATGTATATATTTAGTGTCCCATTATCTGACTCCAGTTTGATCGCATGTCAAATACGATAACGGATTTTTGGATACATATATTTCGTACAATCGTTGATCGGAAAGTGAAACAAAACAAAATGACGTACAGTGAAGGCGAGTAAGCTGAATAGATCTAGGGTCACAACAATGATGAGCCCGCCAATGATGAACCTAACGCATCAAACTACGTCAATGAATAACCGTCCGCACTCCATACTTTCGACGAACGCACTCAACGTAGCTTACTCAATCGATAATATCATCATACCACTACTCAAGTGGTAAATCAGACTTCGAAATAAACGTAACCTGCAGAGCTACACAAACGATGAACATTTCGAACTTCACTCATTCGGTAAACGAACTTCAAGTGGCTGGCTTAATCGATAGCAATTAGAAACGATCCAAATGGAGCCAGATAATGGACCACTAAATATCGACTCAAGTTGTGATTTATTTTTATTTTCCTGAATCTCTCAACACAAATTCTGAACAAGAATAATGAAGTGCATAATAACGATATTAAATACACATAGACAAGACAAACTATTAAACAATCCCCATGGAGGCTAGATAGTATTTACTATTGATTCGAATGATGATTTTGTTATGGTATTTTTTATTATTGAATTGTGTCTTTTCCGTCTTTTTTCTATCTCAGTGCTTTTCATCTTTCTTTTTACTTAGCCTAATTGTTATGCTAAAGTTGTGTCGATTGATGATAAAAAGCATATTGTTATATTGGCCCAACGAAAGTAAGTAATACGCATGTATACATTATTATTTAGAAAATTTATTTTCCTTATTATTGATTTATATGGAGATGTTTTAGAGATAAGACTTAGAGGTCGAGAAGTTTTCTGTTATAACAACTAGAGAGTGTGTATGGGCAGCTTATTTGATGATCTATTGTCTCGGCATAGATCACAGCTTCACATTAGAACGTTGGAAGATGCATTACGAAGCTAGTCATTGCTGGGCATCTGATTATTATGACTCCAGTAAATTTTTATTTGTGTTTAACACTTTCATAATATCTTGCCTCATTTTGAAGAGTAATCTTTTTAAACAACTCAGCTAGCTAAAAGTTTGTTTACTTCACACAATTCACCGAGAATATAAGAAAATAATTGTATGAATAATATTGTCTAGGTCTTTATTCTTGTATCCGTTTCATCTAATGTTTTCAAGTAAATGTTTTTCTTTATATGAACAGTGAAGATCCAGTGACTTTGTCGATTACTAATGTTATTATTATGTTTTCAGTCCTCAGATATTACACTTTTCTGATTTTATTTGTTTTAATCGAAATTGTAAACCAATATAGGTAAACTTATTATTGCTGTATTAAGACCAAAACTGTATATTAGGTATGTCTAAAAGTAACCTCATTTAATCACTTAAGGTGTCACATATATCTGAAAAATTTCGTATAGAAAGTCTATATCTTATACTGACACAACTGAAACTGACAGTCTATTTTACTGTCTAAAGTAATTTACACTTTTATATACAATTTTTTTAAAGAATACTGTACCATGTTTATTGACAGTGAGTTTTTGGGGACGTTAGATCCCCAGAACTGACTTGAGAAAGGACCTAATTTTGTAATTTTATTTAGGAAATTTGGATTCCCTTGTTTTCGCGCCAAAGGCGCTCTTGTCACCTTCATGTCGTATTTCTCACTGGGAAACATCTTAAGTGCTATTGGTCCGTTGCGTCTTGTAGTATGCTATTATTTGGTAACTCTCCCTAAGGACAGTTTCGCACTGTATATATACGTTTTGAATTGTGTTTGTTGTTATCGCTCGTTTCTGGCTGTTTGCAGAATATACTTTCCCATTCCAAGCTTGAACTTCTGCCTCTAGTTAGCGGGGCTGGGACGCATCAAATAACTAGCTTACTGGTCTTGGTCACTGAGTCTTTGTTCTTGTTCTCAAATCAAATGAACTTGTGTTAGCTTCAATCTAACATGTGTTTGTTTGTTGTTAGTGTATTTTGGTCGATAAATTAAAAGTTTCTCTTTATGACATTTTAATTGTTTTGTTGTTAATACATATTTTCCTTCGTATACTACTTATTTATTTATAGAATTTATCCTGGTGAAGAATTGACATATGATTATCGTTTTCCTAAAGAATCTGATAAATTACCGTGCAATTGTGGCAGTTATTCTTGTAGAAAATATTTAAATTAATCTATTCTATATATCTCTCTATATGAAAAGAAGATACTTTTAATTTCTGTTCTATATATATATACATGTATGTATTTGTGTATTCTACTGTTTCAATGATACTGTCAGTCAGTCAGTCACATTCTCCTCTTTTATTGTGTTTCTCTTTTTCTTTTTTTATTTATTATTTATTTAATGATCAACCGGTTGTTTATTCATCCATCTACATATTCTATGCATATACACATGAATTACTTGTTAGATTTTTATAAAAAATTATTTATATAATAAGAGAGAAAAAAAATATGAAAAAAAAAATAATAAACAACTCAGTTCATTGAAATTTATTGTCTTTTTTATGTACAAAACATTATAAAAATACAAATCATTCTCTCTCTCTTTTTTTGTTTCCCTCTGGGTTTTTTTGTCTTCTTTTTTTTTTCTGAAAAAAAATAATTTCCTGCATTTCTTCATTAAAGAAAAAAAAATAGAAAAGAAGAATATTATTGTTTTTATCATTAATTAGTATTATTGTGGTTATTTTTATGCATCGAAACAATCGTATGTATATTTCATCGATATTATAATATATATATATGTATGTATATATGACTGTACTGATCTGAATTAAGTCTCTTTCTTATTATTGAATATGAATATAAATTATATAAATATATGTATATGTTTAGAAAAGAAGTGACTTTTTGAGGGAAAAAAATTATCTTTTTTCTCTATATCTTAGTTACTGTGAACAAGTAGTAATATTGAGGGGGGGGGGTCAACTTGAAGATTTGGTTTTATAGGAACTAACCATTATGTGATTTCAATTTACATATATGTATTGTAATGATAGATTATGCTGCTTTTAGTATTGGATAAATATCTGTTTACAAACTGAAAGATGTACATTTGGTGTGATTGTATTATGAATAGAATTGGTTGATCAAGAATCATAAATGTTATGATTTATCCGTTGAACAGTAATTTCAAGGCGTTGAATAAATTAAGTAGGATAACATATAAATTAATTGGGTTGTTTTATCAAATACAATTTACTAGCTTTATTCACACTTTACTAATTGTATTTCTTCTGGCGGAATCAGATATAGACTGATTAAAATACTATATAAATAAAAACACAAAAGCTCCAGAACACTCTATCTGACATACATATTATGCAGCAAAAGGTTCTTAAAGTAAAATTAACGAGACATAACTGAATACATGTATATACAGACTGGTAATGTACAGAGGATTTCGTTGTAGTTATTATACAATATGTTTATGCAATGTATGTGAAAATTCAGGGGATATTGTTTAAATAATATAAGAAGTCCGTACTGCACTAAACATAGCATTGAACGAAGGGATTATTGCTTAAATGATACCTCCGTAAAGGATTACACATATAGTAGGTTGATATCAAGGACTAGGACACCTTAGTATACAATCTCATATTTTCTCACCGAAAGCTTAAGTACCAAACTAAGCAAAAGTCAATAAGGAAACAGTCCAACGTCATCAAATAGAAATACACATGTTATTATTAAGCCCCTGATATGTTGATTTAATAGACAGGAATATGTGTTAATTCCTAACCAGTTCTTATGGGTTTCTGTCATCTAGATCAGAACGTCTATTAGTACAGTGACTGTTGACAACTGAGGAAATATTTTTGCAACTAAATTTGCTTTAATCAATTTTTTTATTATTTTAGAATTTCTTTCCCCATTACCATATATGATGTAACTATCATGATTTTTATCCCTCGTTGAATTATTATCTCGGAACTTGCATTAAATAAACAAATCTTATATATTCACTTGGTGTTGTTTTACTCTTATCTTCCGATTGTTATTTAGGACTGCAATTGATCAGTCTCATGTTGGCATATGTGCATCCTGTGTGGATTGCCTCGATATAGCCTTAAGTCACAAGCTTCTTAAGCAAAGATGGGTAGTGGCTAGTGACGAGACGCGCGTCCTGTATTCCACTCTCCATATATATATATATATATATATATATATATATATATATATATACTTTTTTTGAAAAAGATTTATACATAAATAATTCATAAGGCTTAGGAATCATTAAGTAGTTCTGAAAACAGTTGCACTCTGTGTAGAAAAATATAGTGAAATAAGATGCTCTACAGAACAGGTAATATTGTATACACTTACTCATACACAACAAAATAAATCCCACAGAATGATTGCTTTTAATTAAAGTTTATTAGTAGTTGTGTGATTATCCGTTATTGCCTGATAAATTAATCGTTTTAGTATAGATGGCCAATCTTTTAAAAGCTGATTTTGTAGAGATAACCTGTCTACGTTTGATTGTATTCCATTTTTTAAATTTTGTACCTAAAATACCAAGTAAAATATTACTAGTTAGTAGTATATAATTTGTCGTATTTTCAACAGAGACTACTGTGATGCGTGCTACTTATATCTATGTAAGCAGTATATGACGCAAGTTAAAAACGCAATGTCTGGCAGCAGAAGATGGGAAAAGATCAAGAAAGGAAGAGCGATTGGTGTTTGCAACAAGAACAGTCCAGGTTAATATGATGCATTGATATTTTGCAACTTAACAATTTACTATATGGTTTTTCTATTTTACCAAGTAACTCTGTAATTTTGTGCTAAATACAATTCGGTTGTCCTCACCTGTGTTCTCCTTCACTACACTACTAGTTATAAAACTACATGGTTATTACGATTATTCATCCTCGTCAGAGACTTGTAGCTATACCAATAAACTAAAAAAGTTGGCATAATTGGATTATAGAACATATAGATATGTTACTGACTGAATTTCTTAATTTAAAATAATATTCAGTTCTGAGATGGTGAAGATTTGTAGCTCAGATAGAAGTCTGAAGTTGTTGTTGATGATGTCGTTCAGAAGAATGATGAAAGCTCCACGACCAAACCATCCAGCTCAGAGAACAAAACTTCATCAACATAGTATTTAATTCATTTTAGTATAAAACGGTGAAGTAGTATTCGAGTTTACGAATGTTATGATCTGATTGAGTTCAATAATCTGTAGCGAAAATACAGATGAACTTGTAAATCTATCAAATCTAAACGTTGAACTAATCAATTATAACGCATAGAAGGAATAACTAAAATTACTACACTTAATGCGTTAATTATTCAGTCATTAAGTTTTTACTTTGAAATTAATACTCTAAATAAAAACAGAAAAAAAAGAATCAATATTTTGATGACATTTCATTTTGTTCAAATGATCAAGATTTCGAATATGAAATATTTCCAGCTTAATTATTCAACCGGGAGTTCACTAATGACTGATAAGCACAAGTAATCACAAAACATTACAAAATTATACAGAACGTCCAAACTCGATAGATTTTCCTATAGAACAATGTTTTTCACTTGGCGAAATAGTTATTCTAAATTTATTACGAATTAGAGTTTGTCTACTCAAGTCAGTCAGTCAGTTACAACGTAGGACCAGGCACATATATGCATCGGTCCAAGTTGCCACACCTCATTAGCACAGCAAGATGAACACCAAATTCATAGATGCAATTAACTCAATAGTGTAATATATAAAGTAAAGGTTGCATATAAGGATATAGTACAGGAAGAAAGTTAGTTTGTAGAAAGAAAGATATGAAGCAATTTTAATCTCTTAGTTTAAGGGAAGACAGAGTGTACACACCTACACCATTGTGGTCGATTCTGAGCCATGTCACCAAGAGTCTCCAACCATTGGTTACGATATTCGCGTGGACCCCATCTACCAATATGGCTCAGACAAGAAGTTAGTTACTTTATGGACTGATGCCATGTTTTGTTTTGGCCGAGTCTAACTTTCTTAAATCCGTATCCAACACTAGTCAGCATTGTGCGTCGTGATACGTAACATTATACAAAACAATGTTCCATCTTAAGTACGAACATATAATAGTCATCGCCATCTTTTTAGAAGAGTAGTAATTTGGAAACTTAAACAAAAACTGTTTTAACTATTCGCAGCCTATCAAAGAATGTAATAAATTGAAAATATTAATATTATTTTATTTACTTGTTTTAATGCTGGAGTCATATTGTAGATATTATTTTGATTTTCTTTGAATCCATTTATTGAACTTTCATTTAATTTGAATTTACCGCAAGATAAACGTTTTATTGAATCCACTGAATTGTCTCTAGTTATCCCATTATCATTATTTGGTTCGTTTTTTGTAAGTGATAGATTTTGTTGTTCAACAAAACTACTACAGTTAACAAGCGTAGAAGTAGTATGCACTGATGTCGTTGCCGTTGTTATATCCATATTGTTATTGTTATTATTGATATTATTATTATTATAAGAATTTAGTATTACTTTTGGTAATGTTGTTGGTGATATTGAATTGACCATTCTTAAACTATAATCATCTTTATTTACATCACTCATTGAAGTTTTATTATTCATCATATTACTTATATGGTTGATAGTTTCTAATTTATTATAAAAAGATTGATTTGATGTTGTGCAGTAGGAGTTACGCATTTTTATTCTCTCGTAAAATAAATTGAATAGATTTTTCGATTCATTTACTTCATTCGGTTTAATCTATTTTAAATTATAGGTAATACTATATAATCTCACATTTGAGGTTCAAAATATGTAAAATATTTTAAACTACTTACCAGTTATCAGTAGCACGCTTGAATTATATAAAAAAATAAGATAGCTTAGGATTGCTCAATCAGTAGAGATCTGAAATAAAATTCTTTTGTGGTTTACTTTTTGAAGTAAAAATGTACGCAGAACTAATTACAGTGTATTTCTAGGATCCCAAGCTGTCAGTATGGCCATTCATAAGCTGGTAAGAAGCCTTGAAATATAATAAATTCATGTTATTTTGAAAATTTTGTTCTTTACTATTTATGTATAAATAGTTTTCTACATGCCATTAAACTCAATTTATTGAGAAATTATTCCAGAACTGTGTATACTAACTTTAATTTCTAGATTTTTGCTTCAGATCTGTATGTTGATATTTCGAAAACTGGATCATTGGTTAGTGTCTTGGTGGTAGTAGTTACTATATAATTCTGTATACAAAATTCTGGGTGTCGGTTTATGAGATAAAGACGAACTTCAATGTCATTGTTCTCTTTTAATATATCCCAGTTTTTCTCCTTTTATTGTGGATTTGTGTTATCACATACACTGAATAGACTTAAGAATGTTCGAATGTAAAACTTATTCAAAGATGGGAGCGATAAGTTCAACTTGTATATCCAGTTGGCGATAGATACTTAGTGGAAGACTGATTTTCCCATGCTTTTTAATTTTTATGGTTCTTAGATTTTCAAGAACTTAACACTCATTCAGTTTGTACTCAATTTCTAGTTGTTTCTTGGCCATAGTATATGGATCAAGGAACAAACAAATACAGTACCTAAGAAACTTCGTTTTTGAACGTATAATTCAAATTCGATGCTGCAGCAGAGATTTAAAAGAATAGTGTGTTCAGATATCTGCTCTTTGGAACTTCGATATTATCTTCTTCAATCAAAAAGCCGATTGATGGATGTTTTAAGCACGAGCCGCCTCTTGGACAAACTCAACAAGTATTTATCAGTTTAGTTGTTCTTATACAGGAGTATATGTTTGGCCCTAAAACGCACTTCCAATGTAAAACGATCGGCACTTTTGTTTTCGAACACTTATTAAACTATGGTCACGTTGACCATTCTTGAGTATTTTACAGAATTAACAGGAATACAGATCAGTAACCTGCTAAACGTTTAACCGTTGTCAAATTATTTCAAGATTGATTTAAACGCTTGAAAACAAAGTATCCAATACCTATAACTTAAAAAAGTTCCTATTTTGATGAATTATTGGGTCTTATTTGTTCTTCGTGAACTTCTTTATGGTATTTATCAAGTGGACTAAAATATCTTCCGAATATTTCATATTTCACCACCTCGCGGTTTCATATTACTCCTAAGTGTACTATTTAATTTCTGCTTGATATTTGGAATATATTTTCAATAACATCTGAAATGACTCAATACTTGTCGATTACATTATAAATTTACATGCCCCTAAAAACTATAGGGGAAACGGTACAGCTTTAGTAAGTTACTTAATGGAAGAGAAAATCTCAAATGCATAATATTAATCTTAGTTGTATTTGAAAAACCTGTTTTCCTTTTGACTACATCCAGATAACTTCATTATTCAAAATTTACCAACTTTTTTTAGAGGTCTGTTCGATTTTTGAAATAAAGTTCAGCTTTAATATTATTCTATCCTTTAAAATTCAGTAATTTTGGGCTCAATTTCGATCGCTGAATTCCGAATTCCTATGGTGTCTATAGTGAGAATCAGGGATAAATATTTACTTTCAGAATGCAAGGTTTGCTTAGATTTCTGGTTTAGAAATAGCTGACAGAACGAGCAGGTATCAGTTATATAACCATTAAAATCCGTAGTAACTTTGAATAGTTATTTTGTCTTAATATAACACTCTTCAGAGCAATACGTCATCATTGATTCATTTTTAGTTGTATATCAATTCATAGAATGCTGATGACAAATATCAGTCATTGTTATCTAGTTCTAAGAGTCTAGTGAATTTCGAACAGATAGAGTATTCACTTTATACTTATTAAGCTAGATTAATTAATACAAAATGTTCTTACAATAGGACTCAGGCATAAAACGTATTACTTAAAAGTCCAATCTGTTATGGTGTTATATTATAGCTTTTTTTAGTGGCCCGGGATCTGATTTCAATTACATCGTATGAATTTCCACTGTCGGAATATATATCCTGACTATTCTCGTATATAATAGTTGACTTAGATCGCGTTCGTGAATAACGGAATTAAATAAGCGAAATACGAAAATGAGTTTTAAATGAGTATATTTCATGCACTTATTGATTTGAACAGGAGATCAGCGAATGGAGCGGAGCGAAAAGAAGAGAGAGAAGCGAAACGATGCGCAGTGGAGAAAGCATGTGAACCAACTTCATTTAATCAAGAATTAATCAATATTTATAGTCACACAAAAATAAGCTACAGACATGTGGTGAGCAGGATAAGAAGCGTACAAACATACTCTCGATTGACTCATCATCTCAACCATTGAAATTACTATAATATCCATAAAACCCTTGTGATATGAATTAATTAATTCTTTGCAATGTAATCGTTCATGTAGTTGACGGTAATCTTTTCTGAATATACAACATGTTATATAATTAAAACGAACCAATATTATTTATAGAATATTTGAATTACTTACAAGTTGACCGTCTAAAAATGTTAAATTTAATGAATCAGTAAGACTCCATATAATAAATGGACGCCATAATTGACCAGCTTGTTCAACAATTGGATTACTATTTGAACCAGTTATATGTAATGCAGTTAAATATTCAAAATCAATTAGATCAGTAATTTGATGCAAATATTTAAGTCCATTATTTTCAAGATTTAATTCCTGTTATACACGCATGATAGAGAAAAAACTCCATTTGAGAAAAAACACTGATATTCACAATAATTGTAGAAAATTCACTGATTGAAATCATGAGTCAGTTGAAGCTGGACCACCGTGGAAAACTTGGATGCACGGACGGCCGTTTCGTTATAGTATGGGACTTCTCAGCAGTAAGCATTCATGGGGTGCGAGACCGTGGATGCACACTGCTGGGGAGTCGTATACTAGGACGAAACGGCCGTCCATGCTTCCAAGTTTTCGATGGTGGTCTAGCTTCAATTGACTCATGATTTCAATCAGCAAAATTTCTAAAATCTCCACAAAACCCCTTCTGATAATTGTAGAAAAGAATAATTGTTTCCTCTGAAGATAATCTTCATCATAAATCGAATTTATCTGAATAACGATTGAAAAAATGAAAGAACCCTGGAGTACCATTTTATTCTAGTTAGTGATTTTAAAATAATGGAAACGATTTGTATTTTAGGTTGATAATATTACTCAGAAAGAGAGTAAACGTTTCACGGTCAAGTTACTCAGTTCAGAAAATACATTATCAAGTGTTTTTGACATTTTCTCAGATCCTACTCTTGAAGCACAAATGGCTGAAGTCAAGAAATTTAGATCTCGTGGATATAGGAGACTATTCACTTGTTAAATTGGAATTCAATCATCCATATTTATAACTTCAGTTCATTTGTGATATAGTACATTCTTATTCAATGTTATCTATGAGTTATTGCCTTATCGGAGAGTTACATCCTCTCACAAGAAGTTCCAGAAATTTGTTTTGGAACAAATGGGCATCATTGGATTTTGATTCAGCCATTCAGTTGTATTCTACTCTTGACGATACTATAGTCTCTTGTGTATCTCATTCATCAGTCAGTGATATGAATTACGACTTCCTCGTTTGGTAAGGTTTCAATACCTCATCCAATATTTCGTCACCCTGAACATCACCAGTCTGTACTCTTTGCAGTACGTACTGATGACGTTATTTGGAAGAACGGTGAAGGCTCAAAGATCACAATACATACAGTTATTTGTTTATTTAAACACATAAACATTGATACAAGGGTGCACCAAATGTAGGTGCACAACACCTTGTCATTCGATTTGAGTGAGGGCTGGTATATTGTCCGGGTGCCCAAATCGAAGCAGGTGGTTTTTTCACGAGGCCACTCCCCAAGCCTTTGATCTAGAGGTCTAATCCACAAGGTAATGTAGCAACGTCAGGAGATGCAGTGCCATGGTAGCCTGTGACTATCATTAGGTGCATATGCAATTTGTTCCCTCAGGATCCTGGAGCCTGTTCGCACCATCGGTTTGGAATTAAGGTTTTCCAACTCCCCGAGGTGGATTATCCGAAACCCGTCAACCCTATTAAGGCGTCAGACATTCGCTTTTAGTCCTCTCAATTTCTTAAGTAACATCTATACCGCAAGAAGGCATTGAGAACTTCCCCGGGAGTGGTTGTATACGCGTGGCCATGTGAGAACATTCTGAGAGGTAGAACGGACTCTCCCACCCTCGACCGTACCAGGTCATTTGGGAGCTACAGAGTTGTAAATTAATGATCCTAATACATATACTACGGCATTTTATTGCGAACATAGTGGAATTGACCATTTATTCATAGTTAAAAGTCTAGATAAGACTAACTATCACATAATATTATGTAGATAGAAATTATCTTCATAAACCAGTCGATTTTACTGTACAGTAAATAATCCCTATCTTATTTTAAAGATTATAAAGTTACATAACCCCGTTATCATCTATGCTCTTTTACTCACATAGTAATTTAGTTTATTTAGTTAGTAATTAGTGTAAACTACTGAGTTACATAATAATAGACAATTGATTACCTTTAATTGTGGTAGTAATTCATGTAATTTACGTATACAAATTACAAATTCATTCCAATTCACATTTCTAATAGTTAGCTTCACAATACGATTGAAGTTTAACAATTTTAATGAATCATTACCTTCTTTTCTTTCAGTGTCATTATCCTCATTCTCATCGTCATCTCTAGATATAATGAGATTATTATTATTATTATTATTATTATTACTGTCAATACCATTATTATTTGGTTGGACACATTGTAAATGATTGACTAGTGAAGAAAAACAATCAAAATTACTTGCATGTTCTGTTGATTCGTTTGTTTGTTTCTCAAATTTACTGTCGTTTTCAATAACGTTTGATAGTTTATACACATAATCATTGTTATCGTTATTATCATCATCAACTACTTTAAATACTGTTCTAGAGAAAATTCCTTCTAAGACCAAATGAGTTAATCCTTTCAGATAATATGTAAATTTCAATAAGTTATTTCTTTTTGATGGAATCAAAGGAAATAGAATACTCTCATCTGTCAATGTTCCAATCGAACTGTAACCAACCATATTATTATTATTATCATCACTACTGTTTATCTCAACATTGACATTTGTGACTTCTTCTGTCCAGTTGTTTTCACTCTCTTTCATTTGATTTGCTGTTGATGTAGGAGAAGAATACTGTAGATTCGAAGGGGTTGACAATAATGATAAATTTGATTGACTTAGATTAGATAAGTTATTTGGGAAATATGTTAAATTCTGTTCATTTCGAGGTAGTGTTGAATCATTTTGATTCATTAGTTCTGTAAGATTCTCGGTGGATGAATTTATAGAACTGAGAAAAATAAAACGGAACCATAAACAAAGTGGATAGCATACAAGTTGTATTATATTAATTAAATAAATGATAAAGGGAACTATGTGTATGAAATTTAGGAAAACTTTTTTGATTAACAGATTGATTTTTGTTTTTCGACCGGGATGAAGATGTTATCCACATATCTGAGCCAGACGCGTGGTCTGATGGTACTGGCAAAAATAAACGATTCAGTATGAAACATAAATAGATTAGCAACGTTCGGAGATACCGAAGATCACATAACTACTCCATTCGTTTTTCTAGATAATGTCCCTTTGAAGGTGAACATTGTTGAACTCAAGTATACTTTGAGAGATATCATGATTGAATTAATGCTTAATGGACATCTGGTAGATAGTAAACTATTAATAAAGTCTAAACATTCGTCAATTGGAATACTAGTGTACAAAGATACGACATCATAGCTTGTCGTTGTTTTGTTCTCGTTGATACATAATTTCGAGATCGTTGACTCAAAGTCGTATGGATTTTTTACGACATTATTTAAATTATTTTAAAATGACTTTGATATACTGATTGGATATTTATGAAGTTCACCATGGATGCTAAAGGGATGTCAGGTTTTTGAAGTTTTTGTAGCCCATGGGAACGTGGTGTGGTATTGGATTCAGGGGGCAAGGAGACGGCAATAAATGGCTGGAACGCATCAAAAATTTAAATAAGCTTATCGGAGTTTCAATCCTCACTGAATTATATATCTCCGTTCCCAACTTCTACGAAAGAGAGATTAGTTATCTAGATGCAAAAAATTCTTGGGAACTTAAAAGTTATCCTGTTTCTAGTAGAACGATTTGAAAAGTTCTTTATTGTCTTGGATTTTTATTTAATAAAATTCAATGAGTAGATTGTTAAAATAATTACCTTTCAATTTATAACAATTACTGTATAACGTTACCCTGCCTTTTGTTTTAATAACTGTAGCCATGAAATCTGAGTGAACATGAACTAAATGTGTTGAATACTTCCCTACATTTTAATCCTTTGCTTGATAATATCAATTCATCAGAGTAAATTACTCTTACAATTAATTACTATTAGAAAGGGGGTTTTGTAAATATTGTAGTAATTTAAATTGGATTCATGAGTCAATGAGAGCTAGACCACCATGGAGAACCTGGATGCACTGAATAGTTAATTCATCCTAGTGTAGGACTTCACAGCACTGCGTAGCCATGAGTCCGCACGTGGTACTCGGAACCAGGACCCTTGAGCTCGTGCACGAACGCTTAACCTTTAGACAGATGAGCTGAAATCCAACAGTGTTAATGTCTAACTCCAATCAAATCACAAAATTGCGCTACTGTCCACCATTGTCTTCAATGAGTTACTGCCTCACAACAGACACAGTTGAACTCCACTGATCACTGTTTACCACCAGAACTCCACGGAACACCACTTGAAGTCAGTCACTAGTAAGCACATAATGATTATTGTAAGAAGGAGGTTTTGTGAAGGTTTTAATAATTTAATAGTTCAATTCATAAATCGATGAAAGCTAGATCACCAGGTTTTCCATGCTGGTGTAGCTTTCATCGACTCATAAATTTAACTATTAAATTAACTGTTAATTTGAACAACTAATTGAAATTCATGCCTAACAAGCCATTTGACTTGTAAAATATAAAAAAGCGACGATTTGAGTACAATGACATAGATTTATCTTATTTCATTGTATTCACAATTTGTTATTGTTATTATAATCTGTAATATTTTAAAATCAAGATTTAACAAGCTAATAGAAATGAAGTAGATTGAAATTTAACATTAAAATAATATCAACATTATATAGTAAACTTTCAGAAACATGAAAAGATTCAAGTAAACAATATCAAGTGAATTTAAACTTCACTCCATTGCACAAGCAACTGGCTATCAGGACTCAGTAGCTAAGTGGATCACGTGATGGTGTTTGAAGCGAATGGTACTGGGTCCGAGTCGCAGAGTGAACGTCAACTCTGAGGTGCAGGTAAATCCAGCTGACGTATCCAAAATAGCAGAAAACGCGCGTCGTGGATTCCACTGCTAGACACTATCTACCTTTGCTTATAAAGATGAAAAGAGTTAATCGAATGTTGGAAATATTTATATAATTCAATATAAGTTTCCAGGATGTTGATTAGGATAGTAGTAAAAGATTGTCGAGTTAAAATTATAAAAAAACAATATGTGAGAGAGAACAATCCAACTTCCAAATGAAGAGGAAATTGGAGAAAGACGATGGAAATGGATAGAGCATACATTACGAAAATCATCAAGCTGCATCACGAAGCAAACCCTAACTTGGAATCCTGGAAGGAAACGGAGAAGAGGAATGCCGTAGAACACACTACACCGGGAATCGAAAGCAGACATAAAAGGGATGAATAGCAACTGGAAAGGATTGCCCAGGACAGGGTTGAATGGGGAGTGTTGATGAGTGACCTGTGATCCTCCACAAGAGGTAACAGACGTACGTAAGTAGGTATAATTATCATAATACTTGAATTCATGGGTCTATCTAAGCTAGACCACCATTGGAAACCTGTAAATACTGGATGGCCGTTTCGTCCTAGTATGAAAGTCTACACCAGTGTGCATCCACGATCCTACACGTAGTACTCGAACCCAGGACCTTCGAGCTCGTGCACGGACGCTTAACCTCTAGAACACTGAGCTGGCATCCAACAGTGTTAATGTCTAACGTCAATCGATCTATGATCTTGTGCAACCATTCATCCATTGTCTGTGGAAGATACCCATCTCTATCTGACACGGATTGAACTCCACTGATCACAGCGTACTGCTGAGTGGTCTCAAACTAGGATGAAACAGCCATAAAGTGCTTCCAGGTTTCTAATGATGGTCTAGCTTAGATCGACTCATTAATTAAACTATTAAAGTTATTACAATCTCCACAAACCCCCATTCTGGTATTATTATTATTATTATCGTTATTACCCTGATCAACAAGACGAAATTCTCCTACTACTATGCATTTTATTCATACGATTCTTTTTATTTTCATTTTGTTATGGTAACATTATACTGATTGTGATTTGACACTTTACTCCAAATCATTCTGATCTTTATTAAATGACCTTTCTAATTTGCAAACAACACAATTTTGAAGTATTCATGTCGTAATGGATACAAACGTTCACCATTATTATCATATAACATGATCAAATTCATTAGTGGATGCCTTGTTTTGGCCTTTGTAAAATATCGTAATTATGGACCGTAGAGCCTGATGATGAAGTTTAAGCAAACAATTTTTCGCTCAAATATTCGTCAAATTTATAACTAACTTATCAATAAAATTCTCCTGATGCATACTGTCATGCTGTTCATTTTCTTTGAAATAATTCAACAGTCCGTGAATAATATTTGTTTTTCTAGTTGCCGTCAGTTGTTGTTCATCTAATAAAAATGAAATTGGTACATTTCTTTTGAGTAAACACCGTTCATTCATATTCACTTTGTTGATTGATTCACTAGGATTAGGCTTTAAAAGAAAAATAAAAACTGGTGTAAAGAAATCGAGTGAACTGCCTACAAAATATCCATAGATAAACAAAAATACTAACAATAATCTATTTTATAAGATCTTTTGTCTAAATTTGATAGAATAGTTTCACAGTATTTGGGCACCGAATTGATGTGAGACATTAAGGAGGAAGAACATATTTATAGACTCTCAGCGAATGAATGTGAAGTAAATTCGATATATCGCCCAGTAATCTGATGCAAGCTTTTTCGAGGAAATATAATCATGCATTTATTTGTAGTCGATAATTTTTATGTTTGATTATATTTCCTTGAAAAAGCTTAGAAACTTTGAATTTACTCCATATTCATTCGCTGAGATGATGCTTTAAACAGAATTCTAAGGTACAATTACAAACTCCATATTCCCATTACAGTTTCTAAACTTAGGAGAAAAGGACTAAATGTTTCAAAAATTTTTGATCTACTAAAGCCTTTGACAGAGACATTCTACCACATAATCATAATAAATCTTTTCCTGATGATGTTACTTTATATATCTGTTAGTTATCTCTCTTGACATAGTGAATGTTTACAATTGGTGAATTTTTCTGACTGGTTGATCTATCGATTGATAAAAGAAGATAATTTTGTATAATATTCCATCATTATGCACAAACTTATACATAAAGTTATAGTGTATACCTTCTTTCTATATTTATTTATCAATTGTACTACGTTAGTAGATATTAACGTTTCAATCAATGACTAATTAACTGAAATTCGGCTACATTAATGTACTTAATGTATTTCGATGTCGTATTCTATATTCCACTGAATAATTATTATACTTCAAAAAGATATCAGTCTCTCATGTGAAGAGATGATGAGTAATTTACTTCCCATCTTAGATATATGTGTTAGCACAAAAGATGGTTCACTTACATGATACATATAGATAAAACTTACAAGGACAAGGAACTGTTTCAGTTTTCCTAGATATTTTTAAGATCAATAACAACCAAGGGTTGTTAAACGATTTATTCAATATAATTAATCATATTTGCACAACTAAAGTATTGAAGGTGAAGCAGATTTTTTAACGGAAAAACTGATGCACAGTGAATATTCGTTAGAGTTCGAAAATCAATAAGAAGACAGCATTGTTCCGATACCTACTACATTTTCGACACTCATAAAGGTATATCTTCATCACCTTACAACTCGGAATTGAATCGAGTAGCCTTGATCTGAGACCAAAGCCTAAATTTTAATTAACCAAACTCATCCGTATTGAAGAAGCAATTTTCATACTTAACTAAAAACTAAAAAAAAACATATAATCTAGAGTTAGATCCTACTATGTTTTCCAGTTTACATGTATATGTGGACACAAATATGGGGAGGCGTAACCGTGACCTACATTTAAAGGTGGTGGGACAGGTATCCGATAAGCTAAAAAATAAACGAAATCCAATGTTTGAATAAGAACACATGATAAATAAATATCTTTATCCATTGTCAAACGTTTAGTTGAGATGGGCCAGTCATTCGTAGTGCTGTATAGAAATATATTGGGGAGAATACAGCTCTCTATTGAGACTAGCGGTTCGAAGATTCGAACTGTTTTTGATTACTCAAAAACCCTTTGTACTCTAAACCTATCCTCGTGATATTTTAAATCTAACGTCCAGAGTTTTGTGGTTTGTGTTCTCTTTACTGATTTCGGTGATCCTGTGCCCTCGTTTATTCACATTAACCTTTTCTTTTGCATATCAACATCATAGCAAATCAATGTCTGATCAGATTGTTCGAAATGCATTGTCCTAATACATCACATAACTTTGTTATCATATTGAATTATTTAAATATACATCACTGTTTTTTTCTAATGTCAATATTTTGCTTTTGTATATAATTGACTAAAGATTGTAATACTTTATATTCAAAGCATGTTTACTATGGATTAAATATCAACAACAACAACATAACAAATACTTACTATTCTACACTGTCGAAATTGATACACTTATTTATTGAAGTTGTATCTGATTGGTAAGAGGCCATGGAAATAGACATGATTATATCTTATTCTGAAAAGTTTATTTAAACTATACTTGCTAAAATAATTTCAGACGTACTATATTCATTACACGATGGAAATAAATATTGAATCAGCTTAAAAACGCATAGAACAACTACTGTGGAAACCATACTAGGCTGACGAACCAATCGATAGGTGCTCTTGAATATTCGGACGAAATTTAAAACATCATGATAGATAGCTTGAAGTTTACTAAGAACTACGTTAAACAGTTTTTATTTAGTCCTCGAGATGCTTAGAATCGACAAATATATATGTTTTACGGCAATACAAAAAGTATGATAGCGTGCAGGTTGAGTTACAAGAAGTATTTACTACAGATATAGAATGTTTACAAAAATGATGATTTTTCATTGAACATACGTGGGACGACCATTACAAGCTGTAAACTCTTTTAAAGATTAATTTCTTACAACTCAGGTCACAAATTAGCCTACATTCAAGAAGTAATCTACACATTATGGTAAACTAGTCTTTATTCAGATAAAACACGAAATCATTGATTAGCACAATTAGTAAAAACTTACTTTTAATGAATAAACAGTTGTATTGTCTTTAAAAAATCTTTTATCATTTGATATCATTTTCTGATAAGTTGGATCAGATACAATTGGATTTCCATCCAGAGTAACTTGAGCAAATAAATTTAAATTAGCTAAACCACTAATCTGTGACCAACTGAAATCAAATAGAGGAAAAGTGTCATAAGTTGCACCATACGTAATATTAGCAGACTGATGTACAGTAAATAAACAGTTTCATATAGTATCCATTTGATTACATGAACAAACTGATTGTTGGATGAATACCTATTTCATTCCAAATGCTTTGTTTATTATTGAATAAGGCCTATCTTTAAGTAAATTAATAAGAAACCTAACTATATATCAACAGGAACTAACAAACTATTTTGATGAAAGGTCAGTATTATAGTAGCTATGTAGGAATCAATGGACGAATGTTGAGTGTATGCAAAATACAGAAGTAGAAGAAATTAGGAAATAGTTTAAGGATATTCAAAGGAAAGGGTTTCATCAACATATTGTTGGACCAATCATTGGACTTCAATGAATCACTGTTATTTCATTTTATTTTTGTTGTATCAGCTTATAAATGATCAAATATATAATAGAAATGTGTATATTTAAAGTTATTACATCAAATTTCAAACTAATGGTTTAGATATTAATTAGAAATATATATTGATAGTTGAGATCATGAATCAAATGAAGCTAGAGCACCATGAAAAATCTGAAAGCACTAGACGGCTGTTTCGTCCTATTGTGGGAGTCCTCAGCAGTGTACATCCATTACCCCACAATAGAACGAAACGGCCGTCTAGTTCTTCCAGTTTTTCCATGGTGGTCTGGCTTCAATTGACTCATGATCTCAACTGTTGGAATTACTACAATCTCCACAATACCCCTTCAAATATATATTGCCTTAGTGAAATTGTAATCTGTTAGTAAGATTGAACATTTATTCAACAGTTTTGTAATATGTCATATCTATTTAACAGTAAATACTTTTAATAGTTGAAATCATGAATCAATTGAAGCTAGACTACCATGGAAAACCTGGAAGCACTAGTTGAAGTTAGACATAAACATCATTGGATGCCAGCCAGCTAAGTGGTCTAGTGGTTAAACGCTCGCGCACGAGACTAATAGGTCCTGGGTTCAAATCTGGCGGGGGGTCGGGATCGTAGGTGCGCACTGCTGAGGAGTCCCATACTAGGACGAAACGGCCGTCCAGTGCTTCCAGATTTCCCATGGTGGTCTAGCTTCAATTGACTCATGATTTCAACTATTGAAATTTCTAAAATCTCCACAAAACCCCTTCTGATAGTAAATACTTTATTGTTATTCAAAATGATGACTAAAATGTATAAGTAATTATTATTACGAAGAATCATTATAGAAATCTACCTTTCAATATGATTAAAACTTAAAAATATCCAAATTAATTTTGGAACATTTTCAATTGATTCAATATATTGTATATGATTATGTCTTAAATTTAATTCATTTAATGAAATTAATCCAGATAAACCATTTACTGATGTAATATAATTAAATGATAAATTTAAACAATTTAATTTTGTTAAATGTGTTACATTTTCAATTATTTTTATTTGATTATGATTTAAATCAAGTATATTTAAATTATATAAATTTTCTAATGAACAAATTTGTTTAATTTGATTTTTTCCTAATAATAATATACGTAAAGAATATAATGTTTCAAGACCATTCATTGTTGTGAGTTGATTTTCTGAAATATTCAAATAAACAAGTTTTGTTAAATGTTGTAAATGTTCAATCCGATAGATTTGATTGTATTGAAGACTTAAAAAGCGGTATATTTCATTTGAATCAATTTTTGGACAACTTTTTAGATTCATTCTATGAAAAGAAGAGAAGAAATGAGAAGTAATTAAAAAAAATTGAAGGGATTGAATAACGACATTTATATCACAAAAGGACTATAAGTAGGAATACATATAGCTCGGATAATGATTCTTTCTGTAACAGTGATTCATCTATACGTTAGAAACCAATACTCTCGGTTCACAATTGCAAACAAGCGTATGTGCACACACACACACATATATATTCACGGTTCAATCATGCACTTTAAAAATTTTATTAGTTGAGATTTTTAAAGTCTAAGATTTACTTACAAGTGTTTTTTTTCTTAGGTTAGACTTTTAAATTAGTAACCACTACCAAGTTAAAAATAGTTATTTGAGTTTCCTAACTTTTAATAGTTATTTCAATCATATTGACTTGTAGTGTTAAATGCTCTTGTCTATCTTAGAAACTGGCAACTGTTTCGTTACAACTCATTCAATATCTTTGGTGAAGAAAAGTTACTGATTAAGAAATGTATAGTTGAACTAAATGTAAATGGTCATACGTAAATTTACGGTATCATTCATTTGTGGAGAAACCACCGACCTGAAAAGGAAATTGGATTAGAGGTGGTCTTAGTGACCTGAGAGCGTGACCAGGGGACAACTGCTTGAGGTCGGTCACATATGGCCGTTTTATGGGTAATTTTTGTGTTAGCTCCGTACTTGTTGAGACCCTAACGCCGGAGACAGATGTCCGTGGGATGAGGCGAGGTATGCATTTTTAGGGTTTACCTTTCCTAACCCCACCCTTCCTTGTAGGAAGGCAGGATCGCCATCATGCTGGTTGTCTGAAGGAAACACCTTACTGCCGTCACACCTCTGTACAGTCAGCAGTACGACTTCGCCTTCGGACCTTGGGTTTGTTGCTTTTAGTCTTACCGCTCTTCAACCGACCTGTCTGACATGGTAGGACCTTGAGAAACGGTTGTTCCAGCCAGTATAGCTCGGTTGCTTCATCACGATAGGCAAGCGCGACCACCACGTCAAGGTAGCAACAACGGTCGGGTGACTGAAGAAACCACTGAACTAATGGAATGTTTACTTGAATCTATGTTTATATCCAAGGCTTGCAAATATGTCTTCAATAGATAAATATAAATGTTGCACAATTCCATTAACTTGACCTGATTATTAATTTAGTCATTTTTTAACTGTCCTTCATATTCAAGACAACTCAGTTATACTGATGAGTTGAACTGAAGTATTGGTTATCCTTGTGGAACTATTAAGTTCAGATCTACCAGACGTTTAGTAAATTTTATGTTACGTTATTAAAAAAGTATCTCCGAAGTAATAGATAACTTCCAAAAATGAGACTAAAAAATGTGATTGGAACTTATCTTAAATTTTAGTAACGTTAAGTTAATTACATAGTATCGTGATCTAAGAACAACCCAAATTCATAGTAATGTTTCAGCTACGAATTTTAAAATGGTCATTAGCTTTAGAAATATCCCAATCGGTAAACCTATCAGAAATGTACCAGTAAAATTGAGAAATAATTGCACTGTATCCATTCATTAGATAAACTATAAAAGTATCTACAAATGAATTTTAAGGGCTCAACTCCACAGCAATTTACTTGTTAGGATACATAAGGATTATTTTTTCAATTCATATAAGATTGATTTGTTGGAGTATTCTGAGACTATGATAAATCAACCTGTTGGTTCACTATATATCTTATTGAGTGACAAGAGATAAGTTTTTCCCATCTTAATCAGATTCTCCAAATAAAGTTGACTTCTCATGGTTCGCTGTTCTATCTATGAATCATTAAAAAAACAATGATCAAGATATTAGATCAACTAAATCATTACTTACTGTTCATAACATAGGATCGTTTGCTTTTTGGCACGATCATTTTCCATGAAAACGGTAGAAATTTCAGTTGATAGTTTTTCGTTATTAAATAAATCATTGCCATTTTTGGATGATTTATTATTGTCTTTTTCATCATTTTTCATCAATGTATCTTTTGAGGATAAATTAGTAGTAGGTAATTTTGTTGTTGCATTTCTCAGTTTTATTGAATCTTTAAATCCTTTTAGTGTAAACGATGAAAATGAAGAAGATGAAGATAATGATGATCGTGGTAGTGAATATGCATGTAATTTTTGTCGCTGAAGTTGTTGTTGATGATTATGATTACGATGATTATTCAATGTCTTATTCACATCTTCATTCACTTGTTCGCTGCTTTTATTTTTCTGTGTGTATGATAATGATGATTCAACAAAACGATTCCATTGTGTAGGTATTTGTTCGTAACTACTTACGTTTGTACTTAAATAACGATTTGTAGGGCGTTTTAATTTGTTTGCTTGAAATCCATCTGATTATTAAAGAGGAACAATCATTCACTACATGATTTTTGTAATAACTTCAGCACTCAAACTTCGTTAAATAAGTAAATTTAAACTAACATAAAAGGGTTCATGCTACCTCTCCGATTTCAGAGGTTTTAAGATTATTTTGTCGTAAAAATGAATTCAGATTAAACAATTTCGGACAACCTTTTGAATTTATTTCACTGCAAAATTCTAACTAACTGAAAGTCTAACCCAGAATTCCAATGTCTCTGGTAATTGACTGACTAGTTTGAAGCATTTATCCGACGGTCTTGCTGAATGGAAATAGTGTCTTGGTAGGGAAAATGTAAAAGATCCACTTTGAACTCATTCAAAACTCAGTCATAAAAAAGCACCGGGTAAGTTTAGTATTTTTGTTGTGTTTTAACATTTCATATCCCGTGAAAAAGGATATGTTTTAAATAACCTTTTTAAGTTATATCTTCAGACAACTATATAGATATTGAATATCCAGTTGGTAAATCCTCCAGTTTATTCAATTCAGACTATGGTGACCGCTAATTATGAACGATCAAAGTTATTTTAATACGATTGTGATCAATCGCGAAGTCAATAAGGGAGATGACACATAACCTTTCGATAATAAAGTTCGAATGACAGAACTCAAAAAGGAGGAAAAAATGCGGTGTAAACTTTGGTATTTAATAAAGATAAAATCAAAATCCAGAGAAATCAGATAACTGAGACAAGAAGTTTCACGAGGAAATGCGGATTAGAAAAAAAGCCTATGTGATTGCAGTTTATTTTATTAACAAAAAAGGAAAAATTATGAACTCCTTAGCACTGATGCTATTTGCCTTTTATGCCTCAGGCTTTTTTGCTGCTATTTGCTTCATCAAAATAGTAATATGATGCAACCGTTATTAATAAAATGTTGATTAACACACTTCTGAATCACGAAAACTGTTATCTTTTTCCAAATTACCGAGTTTTTAACCAATCAGATATATGAAAAAGAAAAGGTGTGGAGATATGACTGACAAGCTTATTTTGTAAATAGTTTTTAATATTATTTGTATTTGTTTGTCAATTTTTCACTGTATGTACATTCATCATTAAATGACTGTACGTGTTGTTTTAGTCAATGACCTTGAACACACTTTCCGTTGAGCTACTACATAGCGTGACATATTCTTGCTGGTTAACAAATACATTACTACTCACGCATTCCTCGTTCTATTTTCATTTGTGATTGGGTTAACAAAAGTCTAAATCAAATACTACCTACATTTATAGACTGTAATCGGAATATATCACATCCTACGTTGGACTATATCGCTAGAGAGTTCGCCAACCTACTCAGAGTCATCAAGCATTTATAATTGTGGATTTACATTACTGGACCTAATCAGAACACGCAACGTTTGGGCTATTTAAGTAACGTCCTTAATTTTTATTGTATTTGTAACAATTAATTGTAAGTGTAAGTGAGCCTATAGCATAAATTCACTGAAAAGCTGGGGATAAATAAGAAACTTAGTCATCTTCATCAAAAAGACCACGAACTCAGGCAAATCATCGGAGAAGAATTCAAACTGATATCTCCACTTGTCTATTCCCTTCGATAAAAATACACTTTGATCAGACAACTGAGAATGAATGTTAACGACTCAAAAATAAATTTGTTTAATAAACAAAACGTCATTGTCATAAAAATAAACAGAATATGGCACATAACTTGAAATATATTAGATTTTTAATTAATTATTTTGCATGGTAATTTGCTTACCTACCATCAGCGTATTACAAGATATTCTTTGATGATAAGTTGAGTTGACTAAAGGTACACCCCGATGATTAACAGTTGGTTCGAGTAACTGAATGTCAACGTATTTCACATTTCCTGAAAGAATAAAAATATTAACACTGGGAACTATTAAATCTGAACGTGAATCCTTTAGAAATTTGCTGAAGTTTACTTATGAAAAGTCATAAAAATGGATACATTACAATTACTCGTGGCATCTCGATCAGCAGACTTTGCTGACGAGCATCTAGCGGCTCATATTTACATGTTTATTTCTGAGATCTTAGAGTCATGGATAATCTTCACTTGATTCTTTAGGGGGTTAAAATATCACTACATGTTACATATCAGTCTTAAATCGTAACTGGTGTTGATTTATTATAATACTTTGCTTTTCATAGAGTATAAAACCTCAGGTTGACGAGAAGTCACAGGAAACTCATAATTAAATAGGCTTTTATTGAAAATATACAGCGGCCCTTATCGCATCGTCTTGGTAATCGTTTTTGCCATTTTAATCCAGTTAGAGACTTTATGAACTACCTTTAAACACTGTCATTTGTGAGCTTGATAATTGTATCATATACGCTTTAACATGTGTTTGCTTTATGTATGTCTGTCATTCTCACTCTAATTGGCTGTCGGGAATTCATACGTTAACACTTTCCGTATAAAGAATGAGTTACCCATAATTCGTTGAGTAGACCTGGTCTCCTTCTCTGATTCACATCACTTATCGTCTGTCTGTATCGATAGATGTTCTAAATATATCCGTTCAAAATCACTCTCGTACTCGGTCTTTGATATTTCGTTGCTCTAGGCCTATGAAGGCGATAGAATATGGAAAAGGTAAGTAAGATCTACACTTCATGAACATTATAATTGTTCGATTACAGCGGAGTCGAACGGGCGCCCTAGCCAAATCATCCTGCAGTTGGGTCATTGATTATCAAACAAATCATCGATCCTCGTCAAGGTCAAGGACAGCCAACGCGCATCAGTTAATCGTACGCCATGGACTGGCCCATGCGGCGGTGATTTTACTTTCTCTTGTATCTACTTTAATTAATATATTTCTGTGATAAAGTCCTCTGTGTTGTACAGTTCAAAGCATCTATAGTACCTTGATATGGCAATGGGGTAGTCCACGTAAGGTGTTGACCACGAGGTGTGACTTTGACGTTAGCTGGTTCGTCACACAATTCCCGTCTAACTAGAGTAGGCCTCCAATCATTTCGATATAGATCGTCTACATTGGTGATCAACAGGCACTAACGGTCGAATACTCATACCGATGACGCAAAAAAGTGACTACAACTAACCTGATAGAAGCATTCCAGTTGTCTAATGTTTTCTTTTCAGGAGAGTAACACGAAAAATTGCTAAAAACGTTTTTTCTATTTTCTTAGTACCGCATACATAGTCACACGAATGCCCGCATAAATCCCAAGCTGCCTGCTTTGGGGAAGCTTCCCCAACGTCTGGGGAAATTTTGGGAGTTTCCCCAGGTCTGGAGAAATTTAGGGTTTTTCGTATCATTTCCCCAAAATTTACTATAGCGGCTTCCCCAAAATGGACCAAATTTTCCCCAAAGTTCGCAGCTTGGGACACTTCAGATTGCAAGTTCAAACACTCACTCCATCGAATATTTCGTCGTACAAGTTAGAAGAATTTTGTTCCCCAGTAACAGTAATTGAATAAAAGTAACGAACTAGCGATAAAAAAATAGCATCATGATATCCTAAAGAATATTATCAGTCTCCGAAACTTTTGTCAGTTTTTTTCAATGAAAAAAGGGAAGTTAATTTATTACACTATTGATAATATAACCAATTATTGTGATAGAGAATCTGATGCTTCTTGAGTCCCAGAATGTACTTTGATAGTGGGGTTGAAATTATTCAGCTATGGATAATTTAACATTGGACATACAATAGAAACGTTAAAAATTATTCATAACCTCAATTAACATCTGAAATTACAAACCTCTAATATCATCCGATTTTTTTATGTCTTTTGAAAGCAAATCCTTCAGCTTGTTTGACGATGTCTTCATTGGAACACTCGCCGAAGCGGTAACCATGATAACAACGATTTTGAATTATGAAATCAAGAAAGGTCAACAGTTTGACGTATTCAAACAATTCGTGCCTAAAAAACAAATGGCTGGGTAGCCTGTGTTGGTCATGGCAACAGTGGTCTCCTATTCGATTTAAATATCATTTAAAAGAGTCAACAGATGGAGCTTCAATCACGTATTGAGGCAACGAACCCTATTCGTCGATGGTAAAGTCGACAGTCAGCTGATAAGTAATTTATTCTGGGCTTGTGAACATCTTTAAAGTGTCCTCGTGAATTTTTCATTTTAAAAGAGGTGCAAATTTATCACAAGGAAGTTCAAACTCTATGATCAAGTCCCCTCTGTTTCTTTTTTGTGATATTTGAAATAGGTTTAGTTAGGCAAATCGAGCATCGCGAAAAAGCTTTGCCATCCTGAGATGCGGTTCTCTGAATCTTTTCCAACAGCTGTCTGTCTTTTTCTATAAGAGGGCTGGTCACTTATGCAGGAATACTGTGTACAAATTCAAAACG